AAGGAAACATTTGACATTTTAACGGAAAAGATAAAAGTCCATAAAGAGAATGGAGTCAGTTGAGTTATTCTAGTAAGAAGCAACTTTTGCAAACTAACATTTCCTTCTTAAATCAGACTCCACCCCACAAGGTGTGCACTGTGTTTCAAATTAAACGCTCCCCTTACAGGACTGCTGAGCCTACAAACCTTCAAAATCTTATATTAGCTGAAACATTTTCATGCTAGAAACGAAACATGAAGACTACCTCTCGTCTTTTCAGCGTGAAATGTGACACAAATGAAGCACCCTCTTTGCACAGGGGATGGGCTGCATACAACTTCAACATAATTAATCATTATATGATTATATCAGCAATAAAAATCCTTTTTTATTGCATAAGCATTTGTTGTGCTGGCAAGGAGATTAGCTAAAGACAGCTTGCAAGGTCACTGTCTTCGTTGGGAAACAACATTGCATATTGTATTGAGATTGAATGTGCCAAATAATTGGCATCCATCACCTAACTCCTCCCAACTGGTGTGCACTGTGTGTACAGTAAGCACTCCCCTTCTTAAGATGCTGAGCCTTCAAACCTTCAGATTCTGATTTCTCAGCTGAACTTCATGCAAACATTTTCAGACTGCAACAAAACCTGAACACAACCTCTCTCGCCCAGCATGTAATGTTCCCATAAAACAAGCGCCCCCTTCACATGCAGCGTTTATTTAGAGGTAACAGCTGATTGGTTTTTATACCCCAATGAAGGAAACAAATCTCTAGGCTTGATTTTCACAGTTTTACAAGCCCAGAAAATGAATCAAAACAGTAAAAACTGTGTTCAGAATGAATGTACCTGAACATGTTTTATCTACCGTCTAACTCCTACCCACTGATCAGCACTCCTGTTAAAACTAAGCGCTCCCCCTTCTAAAGATGCTGAGCCTCCAACCCTCCAGAATCTGATTTCTCAGCGGAGCTTTTAGCAAACCACAAACATTTTCACACTGCAACAAAACCTCATCACCACCCCTCTCACCTCATTTTAGGTCTCAGAGCCACTCGGGGTGCGTTCAGTTAACAAATGTTGCATTACGTTTAAACAAAAATGGAAACAAGAAATGAATGCTGATTGATTGAAGCATGTGAATAAGCAAAATAGAAAGTTTGTTGAAAGACTGGAGATTCTGCATTGACCATGTCCAAGCATTGAGCACCACCCCACTCACCCAGCAAAAGTCGTGTCACAAACCAAACACTCCCTTTCCTGAGGAGCCGCCTTGTCTCCACCTGCCCGCCAAAACACGGCAAACACAGCAGACTGAAGCTCCATAACATCTGCTGCACAACAGCTGCACCCCGCTCCCCTACTGTGTGACAAATCACAATCAGAGCGCTCCTTTTTCTATGCGAGCGATGTCCTCAAACAGCTGCATAACTCTGCTCAACAAGGGCTCAACAAAAGTTACAAAACACTTCCGTTATAACGTCCCTGACAAAACCAAGCGCTTCCCTTGACCTGCAGCTAACAGATAAGCCCCGAAGTGCTGCTGCATCCAAACTTCATGCAAAAAAAAAAATCAATAAAGCACACACAAAACAAAACCTCTTCCACCTCAGTCCTGCAGTGCCCCATAAATCAAGTGCTCCCTTATTCTCCTGAGGCGGCTGGAAGTGAAGCCTGCAGATAACCTCCGACTTAACGTCTTAAAATTAGAGCGGTTTTTGTTGCAGAGGTTAACACAGCTCAACGGAATACAAACACCAAAACCATAAACTTTTTTCCTCCCTCTTCAGGCCTGAAATGGATCATAAATGAAGCACGCCCTTGTGCTCAAGAGTCCAAAACACGCACACGCACATTTGACTTCCTGCGAAGAGCAATAAAAAACAAATCAAAACAACACTATTTCCTGTACCCATGCTCCCTCCATCCTCCCACTGGCTCTGAATACGATAACAAAGCAAGCACTTCCATTCTCTCCTCTTTAATATCTGAGGACTGGAACCCTTAATACCTGCAGATATAACCACTCTTCTCCTGTCATCCTTCTCCCATCTTTAATCTGCAACACAAATCAAGCGTTTATTTCTCGGTTTAGATCCAAACTTTCTGCAACATCCTAACATGTTTGTGTTCCTCTACAACAAAATGATCCAAGATGCCCCTTCTGTCATCTCCTTCCAAGACCATGAACTTAAAAAGTAATAAAAACCAAGCGCTCCCTCTGTCCCGTCTGGAGCTGAATGATCGGCCTGACATTCATGCAAAACATAATTGTGTGACGCAAAAACATTTCATGCTTTAAGTATTCATGGTTTGCATTGGATCACAAACCATGCGCTCTCATGTTTCCTCATGACCTGGAGCGTCCCTTCTTCATGCACAAAAAGCCTGAGGTGAGTCTGCAACACAAAGCTGCAACAAAAACAATGCACCCTGCTGCCTCTCCTACACTTCCAAGTATATAACAAGCTGGCAGGCAGATAGTCACAAACCAAGTGCTCAGAACATTCCCCTGCACAGCTATGCAACAAAATAAAACTAACCTTCCTCCTTTAGTATGTGGAGCTTCTGCTTACACGAACAAGCATAACAAAATGCATCTGAATTTAAAAACAACAAACAAACCTCACTCTATGCCCCCCATCCCCAGTTTATCCATGTAGCCCCTCAGTTGCATCACACAAAAAAGCACCCCTTGCTTCACATTTTATTTCACAACAGAATGAGACTTCAATAAAAATCAAACTAAAGCCTTCACTTCTCCAATTATCCATCTGTGGTGGTGCATCACAAACCAGGCATTCCCTTCATTCCCTTAGGAGTTAAAGCATCTCATTCACAAGCACCTTGTTCTTTTTCTGCAACGTATAATTGAATGAAAATCAAACCAACCGCCTCTTCGATGGCACATGCAGTAAAAAAACCCATGACCTGAGATTCCCTCACCGATCACAACACTCATTTTCCCACAAAAGAGCCGAAAAATAGGGTGAAAGAACCCCTCCTCTCTTCCTAGACCCTCTTCCTTAAGCTGTGATGCATCACAGACCACACTTCAAAGCACCTGCACTTCAGCCACACAAAGAAAATCAAACCAACCCTTTCCTCTTAGCCCATGTGTTGTATGACAAATCAAGCGCTCCCTTTATAACCTTAGAAAACCTCCTGAATACTTACCTGCACAGCCAAGTTTTTTTTTTTCTGCAACTAGATGAAAAAGAACCCACATCCTTGCATCTGCCACTTCAACTTGAACCCTCTCTCCTCAGCTTGCATGAAGCATTACAAATCAAGCGCTCCTTCATGAAGAGGGGCCTCTATTCAAGGTAATACCCGTTTCTTTTCTGCAGCATGTTGATCTGAGGACAAGGATGAGGCTGCAACTAAACCAAATGATCCCTCCTCTCTGACCAGGAATGTAAGGTGTCTCAAATCAAGCTCGCCCCCCCCACCCCCATGCACATCTTGTGTTTTCTCTCCAACAAACTCTTTCCTCCTTTTTAGCTCATGAAGTTAGGTTCCCTCACAATCACTATTTATTTTACAAATCATGGCTGCAAAAAATCAAACTGACCCCTCCATTCCCTCCTGTAACTATTTATGCCCTGTGTTGCATCAGAAATCAAGTGCTCCCTTTTTGGCCTCAGGTGTTGAAGCTTATGATGCATCTTTTGTTTGAAATTATAGCTTTGCTTTTATTCCAACTCCAATCATCTCCGTCTCCGTCTCCACCACTCCTTTAAACTGGCATGTGATCACAAACCAAGCGCTCCCTTGATTAACCTCAGAACCTGATTAGCTGCACAGCCAGGTTTCTCTGCAATCGTACCCCTCTCCATCTGCCTCTTCAAACTGGAGGCTAGGATGGGATGTGATGCATCACATTTCAAGCGCTCCCTTCATTACCACACTGTTGGAGCTCTCCCCTCCTCATGCACAATCACCTCATGTTTTCTTTGCAATGAAATCAAACACCCCCCCCCCCCATCTCAATCCATGTAGCCCCTTTCCTGTGAGCTGCTGTATGGTTATAGAAAAACAAGCGCTTCCTTAATAATCCTGCCTCAGGAACTGAGGTTTCCTTCACAATTAAACATGTTTTCCAGCAAAGCATTGCTGCAACAAAATCAAACTAACCCCCTGTGTTCCTTCCAGCAACTACTTATCTCCTATATGGTGCATTGCAAATCAAGCGCTTCCTTCTTGGCCTCAGGAGTTGAAGCTTGTTATGATGTATATTTTTGCTTCACATTCTAGTTTTGCTTTAATTTCACCTCTTCTCAACTCAGTCTCCAACTCTCTTTTCAGCTGGCATGTGATGAATCACAAACCAAGCGCTTCCTTAATTAACCTTAAACTGCTTACCTGCACAGCCAGTTTTCTCTGCATCCAAAAAAAAACACCCCCCCCCCTCCTCTAAGCCTTCTTCTTATCTGCCCCTTCAAACTGGACGCTGGGATGGGACGTGATGCATCACAAATCAAGCGCTCCCTTCATTACCTCACTGCTGGAGCTCCCCTCCTCATGCACAAGCACCTGTGTTGTCTCTGCAACAAAATCAACCGAACTCCCTTTTTCACATTTTCCCCATACCCTTTCCTCCCTCTCCTTTTAGCTGAACTGTATCACAAAACAAACGCACCCCTCTCTACCTTCCAGCCGGAGCTCTCCTCTCATCATCATCAGCATCATGTGTGTGTGTTTTTTTTTTCTTGGAAGACAAAGTGGAGCTGCAACAAAATCACACAAGGCCCTCCTCTTTTCACCCCTTCACTCTCCTGCAAGTGGACCCTCTCAGCTGGCATGCAACCAACCCCAAATCGAGCCCCCCCCCCTCTTTACCTCCAGACCCTCTAATCTGCAGTCTTTCTGTACATCAACACCATCAGGTTCTTTTCTCTGCAACATCCAAAAACACAAAGCGGAGCTGCAACCAGAACCAAACAGACACTCCTCTGCAGCCCGGCGTGCGGAGCCGTGACACAAACAAACACACACCGGGTCCGGGTCTTACCTCTGGAGCTGCTGAAGGCGGTGTACCAGGACAGGGAGACCAGCCCGCACAGTCCGAACAACAAGACCGTCAGGAAGGAGACATTTCGGAGCCTCATCTCCGGAGCCCCGGGAGCATGTCCGTACCGAGAGGGGGGAGAGGAGAGGGACGGACGGAGGGAGGGATGGAGGGAGGGAGGGGGGACGCAGGTAGAAGGAGAGAGAGAGAGAGAGAGAGAGAGAGAGAGAAAGAAAGACAGGTGGACGGAGACAGAGAGAGAGACGGTGAGATACGGAGAGACGGGCGGAGCTGTTGCTGTCTGAGCAGCAGCAGCGAGACTGAGGAGTGAGTGAGAGAGGGAGAGTAAGAAGGGGAGAGAGAGAGAGGGGGAGGAGACAGACACAGGTAGAGAGACGCTGGGAGAGTGGAAGAGGAGGGAGAGGGGGCGTGGGAGCCAAAGACTTGGTGAGAAAAAAGGCTTAAATCAACATCATTTATTTTTTTTTTAATATTAACGCAGCCTACGCCTAAGGCATTTTTTTTTGTCTCTTATGATGAAGCATCAATTTGCTGTTAAATCTGAAAATAAAAATAACTTCAGATTCTATTCCAAAGGGCGTTATTGGCATGGGAAACCGGTTCACATTATCAAAACGAGAGTGGAAATAGAACAAAATTAAATAGTCTACAATAAAGAAAATTACAACAATAAATAAATATTGAATAAAGTATTACAAAGATAGCTTATAACAACTAGGCCTATAAAAACAGATCCAAGTTTAAAATGTAGCTTTGCTTAAATGTACAGATGAGTACAGGTAACTTACTAACATAAGAATAGAAAAATGTAGCCTTAAGAATAAACTATTTTGTTTTGTCAATTGTTTTTAAATTAGCCTCTAGTCTCGCATGTACAATTTTACACAGAGTTAAAAGGTTTCATTTCAGGTGTGTCATCCTTTGAAGGACCTAGTCTTTAGTCTGGGTAGACAAACAGACTGTAAACATATATTTATATATTTAATTCATGAATATATTTATTATTATTCTGTGTCGATGTTCAGACTGATCTGGAATGAGACGTCTGGTTTACAGAGATTCCCCGTTTGTGTCACCAGCTGTTCCCACCTTTACCCTGTCCTTACTAAGCACTGCCCCCTGTCACCTAGCAACCTTGACATAAAACAACAGTTCCTCCAGCGTCCACTTGAGGCTGGCTGCAGAAGAACCCGGAAGTCCCAAACTCACCTATTCCGAATCGTCAGGGGAAAATAAACATGTTTACAACCCGCTTAAAAAACTAAATTGTCCTTAAATTCCCCATGTCGTTATAAGAACATGCTGTAGTCACTCGTTGGTTTTGATTATATCAGGTGGGGCAGCTCTTTGCCTGGTGTTAGGTCGACTGTAAGGTTGACACAGCATTTCTAATATGGCCACCGCCATGGACAGGCTTCAAGCGCCCCCTTCAGGAACCGATGGGTGACGTCACTGATGCTTCGTCCAGGTTTATTTAGCTACAGTCTACGATCAAGACTCAATAACATATTAAACTCATTTAACCTTATCTGTTATTTTAGAGATAACTTAAAGTTTCATGCCCCCCTTTTGTAACTTTAGTATTGGTCGCTGTTCGATTGAGTTTAAAACCAGGACTGACATTTGAATTTGAAGGCGCCTCAGAAATGGGACAGCCTTTAACGTGCCGCTGCGACATAACCAGTCTAGAACATGCACTCTGGAGGATGCCGCCCCTGAAATGAGACATGAGGTTATGTCTGCTATTCGTTCCTTTCTAAAAAAATATAATTTACAAATTCTCACAGTGAAATCATACTTTTAAAGTCAATGAGTTTACACAAAGTAAAGAAAACCTTCCCGTCATATCATCTACAAAATGAAGTACCTTCCTTCATTCATGTCTTCATTGTGCTAGCTGTGAACTCCCCCTCACTGGGGTTGCAGATTTTTAGTTGGCCTGTCATGTTCATTGTTTGCGCTGTTTGAGAATACTGGCTTGTCAGAGAAACATTACAGTGTGGAGAAAAGTTCTTGGATCAGAAGCTTTGGTCTTCCCCTTGTTGCATTTAGAATAATTGCACTAAAGCTATTGAAGTACACTCACAAGACATATGAACTCTAATTTCAGACTTTAACAAGAAAGTACAACAAACAGCTGTTACATCACTCATCGACCACACCAGACATTGATAAAAACATTGAATAACCCGGGAGCTGCTGGTCTGCCTCAGTGTGTTAGTATAGTTATGTTATTTTGTCATTTTAAACTTTCATTCGTCTGAACTGATGACTTATAAAAAGTTTCAGTGTTTCAATCACTCTGTTGTTATGCAGTCCATCATTTCCCATGATCCTCTGCTGCTTTCATCAATATATTGTATGTATTCTGTAACACTTGTTCTTTACTGTAAAGGGTTATGAGCGGTTTTGTAAACTGGTTGAGTTTTGACATAAATCATTTAATGATTTCTTTCCATTATCCAACTTTTTTTTTCATTCACATTTCTCTTCTCTTTCCTCTTATATATATTTTTTTTTTACAATGCAGCAACATAAGAAATAAACACTTTAATAACTTGTGATTTTTACACAAGTCAGTTCCAAAATCCATTTCAAATCTTAAGAAATATTCTCTATGGCTGAAGCTGAGTTTCTGTTTAAAGCTCATGTTCAAAGCTTGTGTTTAATGTGAATTCAGTGAGAACCAAACCAGCTAAGACCTTTTTAAAGCAAAGGTCAAGGTTTGATTCATGTTAGGCTGTTTTACAGAGAATCCAACCCTTTATGAGACAGTCTGCAGCGCCATCTGGTGGTCAGGGTGTCAAATTATTTCAAACTATATCTCTAAGACTGTATCCTGTTCAAAATATGGTTAAAAGTGAAAAGATCTTTAAATCAGGATCCGAACACGTAAGCACACGTTAAGTATTTTATTTTTTCATTAAAAACTTTAAACTGAGTAAGACAGAAGTCTTAACGACTGAATGATGTTTTTGAGTTGAGTCAAAACAACAAACAGAATCTGGTTGACACCATCATCCAATCTTTATTGCAGCTTTCTGCAACAATAAAATAAATAAACAACATGTAGGTCAGGACCCCTCAGAGGGTCAAAAACATTTCCTGCTTCATAGTAATATCTCTCTAAACCAACATAGAATATCTCTAGTCTTTGTTGAGTTTTTATGAACTGCAAGAAAAGTTTCAGTGGTCGATGTTTTTAATCAACTCTATGGTGAGAATAAACTCGTTTCTTGTAAATGATCTCTGTTTTGGTATTCACTCGTTTTGTTGTGGAGAGCACTTCACTGTCCCACACTGACATCTAGTGTTCATGAACAGCTGGTACAACTCTGTGCGGTGACAAACAAAAACAATATTTATTTATTTCGGCTCTGCATGTTTTATTTATTTTAAATAGGGACGACCGCACATGAACATAAACATGTAGGCATAAATATAGTAGATTATGGCCATAGGCGATCTTCCACCCGTAGTCCACTGGCATGTTGATGGTACACAGAACCACAGATGGTACACAGATGGTGCAGAGCAGAAACCAAACAACAACATAAACTGTACATTAGTTGACAAAGACACACACATTACAATACAAAAAGTGGCTGTGTGATGTTGTTCAAAGCAAACCTGAGATAAAGTCATTATCAGAGTTAAAGTGCATTAAGAGACAGGAGTCAAAGTGCTAAAGTGCTGGTCTAGACATCATTGTAAAGTGCTGGTGTAATTGTAGTCCTATTGCACAAAGTTTGCACAGACCTGTTTTGCACATAACCTACTATTTCACAGGGCCAGCATACATGTGTTAAAGCATGCAATAGAGCACTGGAGTTACACATACATGTATGTATGCACAATGATGACAAGACATGGTCACAAATCTGGTTTGTTCTGAGCTTCACCTTTCGTTGATCCTTGAGTGTTGAAAAGCTGGAGTAAATCAGAATCAGGTTTATTTACCAACCAGGAGATTTTATTGGATTTAAATGGACACAATAAACAAATTAATCAATGTAAGTGTCCATAAAAAGCGATTGTTTGTTTCATATTCCTCTTAATGAATGTTCAAATGAATTAAATCTGCTAAAGTCGAGGTTTGTTCTTAATTTAAATGGGCTCATTGAAACCTTTGAGGTCATGAACAGCGAATCTAAACCTGAGGAGTGACGCAGGCCTCCACAATCTATCCTATAGTGAGGCTAAATATTAAAAACTGTTCAAAATAAATCACATTTAAATCAGTGTATTGATAAAGTGCTCAGATCTGTGTGTTGATTTTATTGTGAATGTTATCACAGTTTGTGTTTTCATACCTGTTTTTGTGCGTCTGAGTCTGAAGCTGCTTCTTCATATTACACCAGAATAATGTCACAATGCTGCTGCTGCAGGGCAACACTGAGAAAGCAAATCTCCTGTTAATATATATATATCCTATAGCCTACATTTTATTAAAACAAGCTGGTGGTTGCACTGACTTATTCATAAAAATGTTTAATGTAAGCTCTTGGTTCGAATAAGAGATACAACTAAAAATAACAACAATAGGCCTAGTACATGAGGAAGGAGACGAGTAAACAAAAAGAGGAAGGAAATAACTATAAAGGAGGAACAAAGTGAGGAAGGAAAGGTGACAGAAAAAAAAACAATGTTGGCTTGGATTCATTCACTTCTTTACTAGCATACAGAGTAATTCGGGGATGGGGGATGAAGTGAAGAAGGAAAGGAGAGGAGGAAAGAAGGGAGGGACGGAGGAGGAGTAAATCAGTGTTTGAGACTCTGACGCGGAAGAAGAATCAGCCTCGGAGGAGGAAGAAGAAACCTCAAAATGAAGCGGACCCCCTCCGGCTGACTTCACACTTGTTGAATAACGTTTACATCCAAACCTGAAAGAGGGGTTCTGGACGATTTCACAGCCGGATTGTGACGCGTTTCTCCCGGGCGTGGAGCTGCTGGATCAGGCTGCACGGCTGACTAACAGACCGGCTGTGCTTGTGACTGAAAATATCACCATTCATCCATTTTATACAGCTGTGGACTCTCTCAGCATCCATCTCTAAGCCTACTGAATCGATATTTCATTATTTATTCATCTAGACTCCCAAGCGGAATCTCCGGGAATCACACCGAGCGAGGCGCCCTCTCCGTCAGCGTAGCGCCGCCGGGTGGCACCGCTGTCTCCGGGCGGAGGGACTCTGATCACGGCGTGGTGGACGCTCTCTCCTCACCGTGAGAAGACTAAGTTTAGAAAGAAAACAAAGCCTCGCTGCCTTCACGGACAACCAGCTATCTTTTTTTTAAAGAAAGCTGGATACACGATTAATATTGAACGAGTTGGATATCTGTGAGGCGGGAAGCTCCGGGAGACACGCCGACCACAGCGTCTCTCTGCCGGGGCAGCACCGCTGGGTCCAGCCGGCGGGTGGTGGGATGACTCTCCGCTGGTGTTTAGCGGCGTCAAATTAGAAAACTAATCTTGTTTGGAGAACAAAGTCGTGACCTGATTGCCTACTCTGTATTTCTGGACTGGATACTTATCCTCTGAGGCGGGGGAAATCTCCATTAAACACACCGAGCACGGCGCTCTGTCCCCGGGCTGTGGAGCTGCGCTCGGCCCCGGTGGGATGTCTCTCCTCTGGGGGTGGACTATTTTCTATATATCCGGGCTTTTCTGCAGTGGAAGTTAATCCACACTGTACCCCGTAGTGTCGCCCGTGTGTTTCTGTGTAGGATTGTGTAGGAGGACATGGCGGAATCAGGTAGGGCCAGACCGGCGGACCCTGACGCCGCGGACAGCTGGACAGAAAGCCCTGTGGCAGGGAAGAAGAGGGCCCAGCACTCCCCGGGTCTCCGTACCAAGTACCAGAGCTCCGCACCGGGTCACTGCCTCAGGAAAGTCACCCTGACCAAACCCACTTTCTGCCACAGCTGCAGCGACTTCATCTGGGGTCTCATCGGCTTCCTGTGTGAAGGTAAAAACACCCACCTAAAGGTAGAAATATGCACTATAACTCCTGTATTATTACTAACAGCATATAGAAGCCCATATTTAATATTTATGAAAGGATGAACTCATACCCACCATTAGTGCATCATCTGTTTCTCCCAGCCCATGCTCTGCATGTGCAGCTGCAGATGACCCTGAACCACCAGGGTGGTGTTTGTGTCTCTACACTGTCAGGGGGACATTTGAACAAACCTCAAACCAAACCTGTTATTTTGTCATTTTTGATTAAAGAAGCCATGTGAATGAGACATCCGGATCTCTCCAGATCTGGATGTGGATGTATTAAACTTGCAAAGGTGATGAAAGATGCAGAGAGTGTCCCTGAGTATGTGGGCACTGAAAGATGCATCGACTGCAGCAGAAATTAGCAACCAGGAAGAAGGCATCCTGTCCTTTCCCGTCCTCCTTTTTTTTTTTGTCCCTTTCCTCCCCTGTGTTATTCTTTCCCTTTGCTCTTTATCTTTCCCTTTTTGACCTTTTGATTCTTTTTCTAATTTACCCTTTCTACTCCTAACATTGTACCATCATTCCATGTTTTTCTCCTTAACCTTTATTTACTCCTCCACTATCATTCCCTTCCTTTTTTCATTATCCTTTCTTTCTTTTTCCTCTTCTACCTTTCCTGTCCTTCTCTCACATTTTCTTCTCCTTCCTTTGCCGTCCTCTTTTTTCTCTTCTTAACCATCCTGTCATTTGTTTGTCTTTATTGTCAGTCCCTCTTTTAATTCTTTCCTTGTTATGCTGTTTTTCTTTCCTCTCTGCTCCCTCTCACAAAGCCACAACTTCATCATGAATTCAACAGGCTCTCTGTAGCAGCAGAACCGAGCCAACACGCTCAAACACAAAAACACGCCATAACAACAAACGCGCTCCTCTCTGCACAGTTACACACACACACACACACACACACGCTGGTTGTCCATGCCCTCCAATGTGTGTGTGTGTGTGTGTGTTGTGCTTGAGTTTCTCGGGAGGTGTTAAGTGTCTGTTGCGCAATCACAGCAGTCAAGTCATGATTTTTCCTTTCCTCCGGTTGTCATGGCAACAGGCGGTGTGTGTGTGTGTATGTGCGTGAGTGGGAGCAGGCAGGGAAGAAGTGACCATCATCATTATCCTCATCACACACACACACACACACACACACACACACACACACACGCACAGCTGCAGATGCATTAAAAGCTGCAGCAGCAGCAACAACAACATCATCATTAACGATGCTGCATGCGTGCTGTCACAGCTCGGACGGATTGCGTAACAACATCGTTTGTGTTCTTTAATCCGTCAGATGGATTAACAGAAACCTGTGATGTCATCGAAGTGCTTCATCTCTCTATTAATATTTCCTGTGATAATAACACACCAAGCCTCTTTTTAACAAAACATATATCTGTTATATTTACTAAACAAACAGTCAGTCAGGTTATTACAACCTGAGTCAACTTCGGTCCATCAGATGTGGTGAAGGTTGTGACAAACTAAAGTGATACCCCTGGTATGTTTTAACTTGATCCTTGAAAACATATTTTTAGACCTAAATGACTAAAAGTTACTAAAAAGTGTCTGCAGTGCATTAGTTCAGCCTGCAGCAGATCTGCAGAGTCCCTCTGCATCTTTAAGAAAAAGCTAAAGACCCAGCTCTTTCATGAATACCTACTAACTTAATGATGATGGTCTCCATATTATTGATAATGATGATGGTAATGACGATGGTTTTTGTTTGATAACGACCACTTATAAGATGGTTTCTATACTGATTAGAGCTCTCAAGAACTGCCCTCAATGTTGTGCTTTGCCTCTGGTCACTTCCTGTCAGCACCTGTGTGTCCAATCAGACTCAAAGCTGATCGTTTGCTCTTACTCACATTGTTCCCTTTTTTCTAAATCCTTGCTTGTGTTGTTCTTACTCTCTGATGTACGTCGCTTTGGATGAAAGCGTCTGCTAAGTGAATTGTTGAATTGTAGATCATCTTCCTCTCTTACAGAAAAGCTCTATCTCTGTAGGGATTATTTCTAAAATGTTGTCAGAAGCTTAGAAAAACAATCTGAGCCTGTCAGTAACAAAAACAACAACTTTCAGTGGACACACTTTGATCCATCAAGGATGATGCTGCAGATGTTACACTCTGTTTCACTGCTGCAGGGTGAAGAAATCTTTTTTTTTTTTTTAGATGCCTTTATTGTAAAATACGACATTAGATGGAGGACGAAAGCCTCCGCACATGGGGCACCAACCACTACGCGCCCATGATGAAGAAATCTTCTAGTGCAAAACCAAAACAAGTTGAAACTTTTGGTTTTCTATACCCAAAATCCAGAACGACCCTTTAAAGATGTGCTTATGAAGCTTTTTAGACCGTTACAGCAGGTTGCTCTTACTGAGAAAACTTTTTTTAAACACTACGCATCATGTGTTTACACTTAGAAAGGACAGTTTGAACATCTCTGTGTGTGAAAACCTCACTCAACCTTAAAAACAAGCATTTTGTAAATGAGGTTCTGACTATAAGGAAACCTCAGCAGGCAGCTGATTCTCTGCTGACTCTCTCTCTCTCTCTCTCTGGCATTGAATTCAGGTTATTATCACATGAATTAGATTTGTGTTGGAGCCTTGGGCAGGAAAAACCTGGCTGATCTGTTCTTACAGAACACGTTTGAAAGAGACAGGGAGGGGGTTGACTGTTGTTGATGAGCTCAGTGTGTGAAAGTGGCCTGAGCGAACATGTGAGGTTCACCACATGTGACAGAATAAGCAACAAAACACCGCAAACTAAATGTCAGTTCAGTAACACACATGAGGTGGAGACACAAAAAACACACTTTAATTTGGCTCCTGAAAAGCAACAGATATTTTTACATTTTAATAATTTAAGCATCACCCTGTTTTATGATATCGTAGCACATTCTTGTTTGATTGAAAAATGTTCTAGTAGGAGCCCTGACCTCAGAGATTCATCTGAAATCTGCAGTTTCTGCTTTTGTTGCTTATGAATAAAGATTCTCTTTTAACCACAACAATGAGAAACGGTTAAAAAAAAAGGTTTCTTTATGACTTAACAGTGAGCGTTTGTGTCTGAGTTTAAACACACATTGAAACAGGATGAACATCTCTTTTATTGTGTTTGACTGCGCTGCACATCTGTCTCCTCCCCAGTGTGTAACTTCATGTGTCACGAGAAATGTCTGAAGACGCTGCGATCAGTTTGCTCCTGCATGACTCCGTCTCTGGTGCGGGTGAGTATCAAAACACACAGACGTGATGTTTTATTGATCCACTCAGCGCCGATCAATGCGCCTCATTAGCTGCTGCACTTTTTTTTTATAAAGATGCAATAACAGAGGAACGGCGTTTATTTCTTATAGAAAAACATCAAGCAGGCAGTTTGATTCCAGGTGACACAAATTTAAAAATCAATCAGAGATCAAGAGGAAGCACTACATTAGAATAAAGTATGTTTTGACCTCATCTAAAAATAACCCCACTTTCTCACTATTTGTGACTGATAGACAAACAGGTCTAACTCAGGATGTCTCGTGTCTTGTGTTAGACGTGTTTTTCATGAAAGTTTAAGAGATTGGGAATTTGTGACGTCAACGATATCTCCTAGTCGGTGAAAATAAGTCAATTTGAATTCATGCAAATGCTCCTCAGTTGTCAGTAACATAAAAAACAGAGGCAAGGCAAATTAATCATATTTGAGTCATGCATCCTTAGTTAGTTAGACCATCTCCCCCGTCCCCCCTAAAAGAAAACCCTGATTGATACAGTAGGCAAGCGGCAACCTCCTGAATTAAATAGTGAAGCCTATGCGGAAGTGCACAATACTGCAGTTCGTTGAGTGTCCCCTTGAGGGTAGCTGCAGAAGAACAGGAAGTCACATACACAACACAGGACAGCAAAGCCCGTTACAGCAGAATTAAACGTGTTTTGGAGCCTGGTACAAAAAAACCCCGAAAAAGGTCAGATTCGCTCGCATCTCGATCTGCACACACTGGTCACAGCTGAATTTCTTGATAACTCATTTATTTTTATTTTATGAAGGAGAAGTGTTATTCACAATAGCGTAGCTGACCTACAGGGGGGCGCGGTCTAAGGATTCGTCAGGAGGCTTAAAACCCGCCTCAGCTCCAGTTTTAGCCCGTCGTTATGTTGACTAAATATTTGGCTGAGACAGCATTTCCAGCATGGCGACAGCGACAGTGTTTCAAAGACTGTTTTTGTCAGCAGAATGACCAAAACAACATTTAAAAAAAAAAAAAAAACCGTTGACATCTGTTGTTGCTGCCCCCTGCAGGTCCCGGTGGCTCACTGCTTCGGTCCGGCGGGTCACAAGAAACGTTTCTGCTGCGTCTGCAGAAAACAAACGGAAGGAAACACAGCCCTACGCTGTGAAGGTAGGACCAGTTTAACATCGCCAGTTAAACCAGTTTAACCAGCAGCGCCTGGCGAAGCAGTCTGTCTGTACAAAAATAATATTTCAAATCTGCTTTAAGTGTGACTGACTGATTCAGCGTTACATGTTCAGGCTGTGTTTTCTGCTCAGACTGTTCAGTGCAGAGAGGTTCAGGCCAGCTCACCTTTGACCTCTCACATTCCTGACATCAAATAACATGTGTTGTGTTTCACCGTGTGTGTTTCAGTCTGTGAGCTGCACGTCCACGCTGACTGTGCCGTGTTCAGCTGTGCAGACTGTCGCAGCAGTCACCTGGACGCCACTCTGCAGCAGGTAAGTAAGAACACAGAGAAAATACTGCAAACACTCTAATATATAATAGATATCACTTTATGAAATCAGTGTGATGCATTCCTCAAATATTATTACTATTACTACAATGTTTGAATACTCTAACAAATTAAAGTTCTATTTTTGAAATGTTACATCAGTCAAATACCCAATTTAATCAGAGTAAGTATTTCAGGTATTAAAAGAACGATCAGGATCTTCTTGTATATATTCCATCATTGGATTATTTCTCAGGCATTAATGTTAGCAAAATTGAATTTTGAAATTGGAGCTCCTTGAAGCAACAATCTGTAACCTTTCATCTAAAAATAGCTGTTTTAAAGTCGATCTAGTATGGTAGCGTTTAACGGGGAGAATGTAATATTGGCAGGAGGCCGCTGTTCTCTCGCCAGCAGCATGTAAGGCTTTATGGCACTAGTTTACACAGCAGCCCTTAGATACAAATCAACCAGATAGACTGTCTTTGTACTGTTTGATGAAGAGGACGGTGATGTATGAAGAAGAGACCTGGGCTAGAGTTAACATTGGACAGGCTTTTAACCATTAAAAACTTCATGAAACATTAAGCTGCAGGCCCGACATCGAGCTAGCTATGTTGCTGTTGAACAGTTCAAAACTGGTGACACTATTGCCCAGCAAGTAGGTATCCTGATCTGTCTCACAGAAAGCATCAATAAGACATGCAGAGTGTAAATCCCTGCAGATGTTATTCAGAACAGATTGTGAGGGCTGCGTTGTTATCGTTGGCTCATGTTTCGCAGCTTTACCGGATGCAGAAAGTCATCTATGTTAGTCCCAGGCTTCAATCAAAAATACTGTAAATAAATGAACCCATCTACTTGATCTTCAAGTTAGCTGTATAAGCTTTATAATCTCTTCAGAGATCATGTGTATTGAGAGAAGCATTTATAACCTAACAGACAACTAACATGTAATAAATGACCCTCTCCAGTGTAGCCATTTAGCCACAGCCTGTAGACATCATGGAAACATTTGAATACATGCAAACAATTTGCAAATGACGGCTCAAGATGCTCGCAGAGTCATATTTGTGCAAAAACAAAAAAAAATGCACAATGTCAAAGAGGGGGAGGCGCTAATAGCACCGTGTGCAGCTGCACTCAGACACCTTCAGTGGGCGCTGAAGCACGTCAAACTGAATTCCTAATAAATTCCTACGTTTGGTGAAAACTTTAAAAAGTGAGAAAAGACATAAGAACCATTCACAGCTCACATTTTGAGACGGGCTTAGTTTACCGTGGGAAAGAAATGACAAAGAGTCGACGTGAGATCATTTTGAGATGTGTTTTATTTAAATAATGCAGCTGTTTCTTAAAGACTTTAGACTTTATGGGGAAATTCCTCTTCACAGCACCGTCTCTGACCAAAGAGACACTTCCAAACCAAAGAACAGCACAAACACTAATCACAGAGTACAAAACGAACAACGAGTCAAACAACAATCCAGCAGAAAATTGTTCAAATATGACAAAAACAAGACGGGCATTATCATTAACATGATAACCATCAGTCAGCAGGGGATGTAAAAAAAGGAAAGCACTCATTAGTGCCTTGATGTTATTCTTCCTTGGTAACAGAGATACAGCTGGTAAACTTTACCTCACTTGTACGGTTATCACCTTGTAGTGAAGTAATGAGGCAAACACAGGGAAACTGCTACCTTCCAATTATCAGGAACGTCTTCAAAATCAGCAGTTCTCTCTTCTTTTTTTTTTAAAGTGCTTAATATAAGTTTGGATTTGAAATTAGCCATACTGTTCTTTGCAATTGTTTTTCACAACCAGCAACATGCTAAGCCTTACCGAGCGCACTGCAACATCAATCAGATCAGAAGTTTCATACTGCATGCTGCTGTGAAAGTCAACCTTTTCAAGTACATTTCATTTATGTTGCCTAAAATCCCAAATCTGACACAAAGTCTGTACAACACTCACTGTTTACAGTATATTCTGACTGTGTGAAGGCGCTCGTAGAAACTCCTGTTTTACTCCTCACTTTGATAACCAGCTTTGTGTGAGCGCTTGGCGTGAACTTCTTCGTCAGTTTTTAGTGAAGTCAGATAATCCAAAGATACCCTGGTATCGTTTGTAAAGACCTCAGGACTACTATTTTAGTTGCCGTGGTATCAGAACAGGTAGCACATCATTTGATTTTATAGTATCATATCTATGTTTAATTCTGGCACACACACACTCACAGTCACACTGTGCGGTTCAAACCATAAACAAATGCCACCAGCATGCTTAACAGCCTCTTCTCTTTTTGTACTCACACCTCTCATAAACATGAACTTCAACGATATTGACAGTTTAGAAAAAAATGACACACAAGCAGAACATATCATAAAGATAACAACAATAAAGGTAAAACTACAGAAAGCAGAAAACACATCACAATCACACATTAAAAGCTTGTTTAAAGAGGTGAGTTTTGAGAAGTGATTTGAAAGTCGGAGGGTCGGTGCAGTGTTGAATATGTGTTGGTTGGTGAGTTCCAGAGGGAGGGGGGGGGCAGCTGTTTTGTTGAGTTTTCTTTTTTCTACAACACTTAATACAATTCCATTTTTAATTTCAAGCAGTGAGATCGGGATAACTTGCAAAAGTAAAATGTAAAAATATGTGTCAGTTTGTAAGTCAACTTGGAAGTGACAGTGCTTTTATGTTAAAGTGCTCACACATCCATTCCTGCCTCCAGGCTCCAGAATGTGAGTCTGTCTGTGTGGTTTTCAGATAAATGAGTAATGTGAGTGTGTGTTATTGATCTGTCCGACGCGCTCTCTGTAAGCAAAGACTTACTGTGAGACAAACGGAGCAGTAGACGTGAAGTGTACAGTGGGATCGATCTGAGCTGATTGATCGCTCACAGTCGCTGATTATCAGCAATAAGACGAAGCTGAAGACTCCTGTAGAGATCCTCAGAGTGAAGACCACTTTAACACCAAAGAAACAAACCTAGTCAATCATCAGACCTTTCCTCTTTTGTTCACTCTGGATCTACTGTCTCTCTCTCTCTGCAGGATACGTTCCACCACCACTGGAGGGAGGGGAACATGCCATCAGCGTCCAGGTGCGAGGTGTGTCGGCGGTCCTGCGGGTCCTCCGATGTCATGGCGGGGATGAGGTGCGAGTGGTGCGGCATCACGGTGAGAAAACCTTCTAAACACATCACACACACCTGACAATGTTCACTTACTCACTCACAGTCTACCACAGATACATACAGGGCTCTGGGATTCACTCTGTGCCATCTGATAAAAGTAGTTATTTAAAATATTTTGTGTAGGAATTAACATTAATAACGTTTAAGCACAAAAAAGCTCTGGAGTGAAACTTCATCCTGTAACAAAAGAAGTCAGCATGAGAGAAGAGAGGAGGTGGTTCAATGTGCTGCTCATTTACACCTTTTGCTCTTTTTTCACTTTGTTGTCAAAGCCATAAATTCCACCAGCAGCAAAGCGCTCTTCAGTCCTCTTTGTCCCTGAGTTTTGCCTCTAAGGTTCAGACGAACACAGAGTTGACTGTATTTTATTCAGCAGGAATGAAACACCTGAAGTTAAGAGTGCAAACAAAACTCTCAATCCTGAGATGTGTTACTTCACTCATTCTGCAACCAAACCTGTACCATTGCTCCTGAGCACTGTGTCAAATAAGGTTGAATACCGTAGTTTCTGAATGGATATTTTTAATCTTACTTCTTTTGTGTTTCTTCATATTGCCAGAAACTGAATAACTGAAATTCTGGACAGGTTGCTTCCAGAGTCCAAAAACATGCTTTACTGTATATGCAGATCAATGAAGCTTGTAAAAATCTTTGATACTTTATTAATAATAATAGCTTGGATTTATATAGCGCCTTTCAAGAAACCCAAGGACGCTTTACAGTAATTAACAGGGGGGCAGTAATAAGAGACAACGAAAAATAAATAAAACACAAACAAAGAAAAGAAGGAAAAGAACTGGAGTGGACTGACTTTGTTACAAAGGAGGATGCTACCTTCTTGTGACTCTTATAAAATAAAATATAACAATATGTATGAGGTTTATTTGGAAGCTAAGCTGTCCTCACAAAGTGCTCCTCTCTGTTGTCTCTGTTTATTGGTGTTGTTTGTGTTTTTAGATGAATTTTACCATTGACTTACCGCTAATAAAAAAATAAGTAATTTACAGAAGAGAAAAGCATCTTTCTACAGAGAACAGTAAGAATCCACCCTGAACACCCAGAGTGTAGAATGAATGACAGTCACAGATAACTTATCAGTGTCCTCTTGCACCAGATTTGAGTAAGTTGTGTCTTAAGTTATGGTGTAAAGTCCACACATAACCCTAAGTTGAAACTAGATACGTTCTAACTTAAGTTGTGTTATAGCTCTATATGTGTGTGTGTGTGTGTGTGTTGTTTCATCCGTCTGTGCAGAGTCATGCGGCTTGTTACCTCGGCATTCCACCAGAGTGCACTCTGGGACGTCTGCGCTCCATGCTGCTGCACCCGGCCTGCGTCCGCCTCCACTCCAGAAACTTCAGCAAGATGCACTGCTACAGAATCACCGAGAGCTGCAGCCAAGAACTGGGTACGCACACACGCGCACACACACACACACACACACACACACACGCCACATCCTCTGTGATGCTGCTGTGTGTGAACCACAAGCACATGTCTCATTTCCTGACTGCATCCCTCTGCTGCCTGTTTGAGCTGTAAACTTAAAATGTAGTTTTTCAGAAAATTGTAACGTGAAAATGTGTGTTTTGATGATGATGTTGTTTACACAAAGGGTTCAACTGCAACTTAAAGGGTCAGTTCAAAATGAAATAGTGAACGAGATCTGACGAACAACACTGACTTTATAGAAAGCAAAACAGGCTACAATAGATCAAAGGTCGGTAACTTGTGGTTACGGAGACATTTTATTTTTTCAGTCTAATTGGTGATCATCTCGTCCTAAATCAAAATATATACTCATTATAGAAAGAGATTTTTCTTTTTAGGTTTGGTTCATCCACTTACAACCAGCCATTGCTGTGCATGTTTGACTGATTTGTCGTGAAGGATTCTTCATTTAGAGTGGGCAAGCTAGTGTTACTATTTTAACATGATAAAAGCCTAGTACTCAAATGTTGTCTGTAAATGTATTTCTAGAAGTTACACAGTGTGCAGGAGTTAGCATGCAATCTCTGATGAATTGTCAAAGAAGTCATTATTTGAAAACACTAAACAAAGCTAACATGAATGTATCAGCTGTTCAGGTACTGGACCCGGATGAGGCAGTGGATTCATGTTGTTAGAGGGACTGATCATGGAGTTCTTGTTCTGAAATCCATCTTCTTGAGAGTTTCTCTCCTGTGTTTTTTTTCATCAGATAACTCAGACGACGTTGATGCGTCTGCTGCTGTGTCTAAAGACGGTCAGCCGGCTGCTCCAGAGTCAGGTCAGTTCACATATTTATTCAACACACTCCGGTTCATTTACTTCTACATTTTAGGAGCGTTTCTTAAGAATTATTACAGATGTGTACAGAGACAACACATCTGTCAGAATAAATGAGATGTTGGGAGAAATGTGTTTTAAAATGAAGCAGCAGACATGGAGAACAAAAACCACTGAGTATTGTATTTGAAGATTGTTGGGGATTTAAGAAGAAGTTTTTTGTTTTGACCCTCAGGTAAACAGTTCTTGAAGGTGTTTGATGGCGATGATGCCGTTAAGCGCGGCTGCTTCCGATCGGTCTCCCTCCTCCGAGCCACGAGGAACGAGGAAGTGGTGGTGAGAGCTTTCTACGCCAACAATTATGACAACTAATATCACTTCTTACTGAGCTTATAGGTGGTTAATTGATAAAAGAACATAGTTAGAGTTATTGACTTAAAAATAAAAGACCTTAGAGTAGTTCTGCAAATCTTTTATTGGGTAATAATACAAAGCTTGTGCTTCTTTTGGTGACTAAAACTACATATTAGTGCGTGTGAAGCTACTTTTATATCTAATATGAAAATCAATTATAAACTGAAATAAAGTCCCAATGCTTTATTCATGGGCACTACTGTTGTCACCTGTGTTGGCCTGCAGGAGGCAGCACTGAGGGCCTTCTACCTCCCTGACGAACCTCAAAACTTCGAGCTGCAAGAAGTCAGAGCGATGCAGTGTCTCCATAGCGACGACATCCTCAACCGCAACGGCAGCCCGGACAACAGGAGCTCCCTGAAGGACGGAGCAGACACCTGGCTGCTGAGAGCCAAACCCCGAGGCGCCGAGGTCATCCAGGTGCACGCAGGATGGCCCAGGTGAGATGATGAGATGAGATGAGATTCAACTTTATTGTCATTACACATATACAAGTATAGAGTAACGAAATGAGGTTTGGCATCTCACCAGAAGTGCAAATAAGCAGAAAGTGCAAGAGTCTGTGCTATGTACAGTAATTGCAAAATTTACAGATGTAGACAAAAAAAAGTGAATTATTAGGTCAATCTGGATGGCTGGATTAATGGGATGCAATAAATATAAATAAATGCTATAAATAAGTAATGCTACAAAATAAGTGTATTCTTAGGATTATAATATACAGATTAAGGTGCAGTGAGCATGCTATACTAGTTACAGATAATATAAAGAATATGGACATAATATGAACATACTATAATACAATAATACAGATGGATGAGAGATGCGTGTGTGTGACCAGGAGGAGTGGTGGGGGGGATGATGGGTGTGAGGTGATATGCAGGGGAAAGGGGGGTCAGCAGGGTGCGGAGAGAGAGAGGGAGAGAGAGAGAGAGACAGAGTTCAGAGTTCGGGGGGGTAGAGTTCAGTAGAGAAACAGCTCTGGGGAAAAAGCTATTCCTCAGTCTGCTGGTTCTGGTCCGGAGGCTTCTGAAGCGCCTGCCGGAGGGCAGGAGGGTAAACAGTCTGTGGGCAGGGTGGGAGGAGTCTTTAAGGATGCCATGAGCTCGCCGCAGACAGCGTTTTCTTTGGACATCCTCAATGGCAGGAAGTGGACACCTTGTGATGCGCTGGGTGGTTTTTACCACCCGCTGTAGCGCCTTACGGTCTGTGACAGAGCAGTTTCCGTACCAGACTGAGACACTGCTGGTCAGGATGCTCTCGATCACACAGCGGTAGAAGTTCATCAGTACAGCTGAAGACAGGTGGTGTCTCTTCAGTGTCCTCAGGAAAAAGAGGCGTTGATGAGCCTTCTTAACCAGACTGGAGGTGTTAGTGGACCAGGAGAGGTCTTTCTGTGATGTGGGTCCCCAGGAACTTGAAGCTGGAGACACGTTCAACAGCCATCCCGTTGATGTGAATGGGGTTGTGCGTGCTTCCTCTTTCTCTCCTGAAGTCCACGATGATCTCCTTCGTCTTGCTGGTGTTGAGGAGCAGGTTGTTGTCAGCACACCAGGCGGTCAGATGCTGTACCTCCTCCCTGTAGGCCGTGTCATCATTGTTGCTGATGAGGCCAATCACCGCTGTATCGTCCGCAAACTTGATGATGGTGTTGGATCCATGTACAGGTCTGCAGTCGTGGATGAAGAGGGAGTAGAGGAATGGGCTCAGCACACAGCCCTGTGGTACGCCTATGTTGAGTGTGATGGTGGTGGAGCAGGTGTGTCCTGACCTAACATACTGGGGTCTGTTGGTCAGAAAGTCCATTATCCAGTGACGGAGGGAGGAGTTGAAGCCCAGGTCTCCGAGTTTAGTGTTTAACTTGGAGGGGATGACAGAGTTGAATGCTGAGCTAAAATCAACAAACAGCATTCGTGCGTATGTGTTGTTATTGTCCAGATGAGTGAGCACAGAGTGCAGCGCAGTGGAGACTGCATCCTCTGTACTCCTGTTGCTGCGGTAGGCAAACTGGAATGGGTCCAGTGTGGGTGGGAGGCAGTTTTTCAGGTGTGCTAGGACCAGTCGCTCAAAGCACTTCATTATGATGGGTGTGAGTGCTACAGGGCGGTAGTCGTTCAGGCCTGTCGGGCTGGAGTGTTTCGGCACTGGGACAATGGAGGTGGCTTTGAAGCATGCTGGCACAGCTGCTTGGGCAAGGGACAGGTTGAAGACGGGCTGTTTCAACAGGAGATAATCCCTTAGTATGGTGGAAACATAACGTTCATTCCAGTCTTTTTATGACTTGTTCTTGTTTTTATGTTTCAGGTCAGGTGCAGCTTTCGCCTCTGTCTCCGTCTCTAAGAACAGCACAGCAGCTTCAGTCCTCTCTGAGGTCCTCAATCAGCTCGACAGAAAGGTAACTTCAAATCACAGTTAAAATCCATTTAATCAGAAGAGCACAAGAGTGCAATCTTAGAGTTACTACAGGAAAGGCTCTGGGCAGTTTGGTACATATTTCAATATTTTACACTTCATTGAAACATTTACCAAAAGAGATTTCTGTTGGATTTGACCTGTTTCCACCTGGATGCTAAGCTTAGTTGAGTGCTTGTTGTCGCTCAATACAGATGTACGGACATCCAAAACATCCAACTACCAGAGAGAGAGAGAGAGAGAGAGAGAGAGAGAGAGTAGTTGAATTTGAACCCTTTATGAGCAGCTACAGGGCTCTTATCAGAGAGGAACTAACTGTTGAATAATCACTGATTGACAGTATTAAAATATGCATGGACAGGCACAATGAGAGGTTAGTTAGCGACACTAATACAAATTAATTATATATTCAAAGTCAGGCAAAGAATAATGTCCCTCTAAACTGAGAAACTTTACATTACAAACTGAATGTGAGTGAAGAAATGTTTAAACTACAGCTGTAAGAATAATGTCCAAATGTATGTCATGTTTAACTTCTATACAGGAACAAATCCAAGTACCTTTAAACTAAAGGATTTGCTGAATGTATTATCTGAACTGAATCTCTGTGAGATAAAAACTGCTGTCAGCGCGGATGAATTAATCGGTGATAACTGTGTGTTGTTTCAGGGAGAAGATTCGTCTAATTTCAGTCTGATGGAGGTTTACATGAGCAGCAAGCAAGGTGAGCAGTTTGTGAAATATTTAGGACACAAAAAAAGGAAAATGGAAAAATACATACAATTATCATAAAGTACAATATCCTATCGTTTCATAAAGTAATGTAAAGAATCATATCCCATCCTTTTCTATCCTTTTGTGTCATATCTTAACGTATCTTATCGTACAGTACGGTGCTGTATCCGGCCGGTACTAGTTGTGTGTGATAGTTTAAATGAATGAGGATGATATTGAAGACAAAAATGTGGCTTTTGCAACGCTGCCATTAGCATGATGCTAACTCTGAACTGTCCTCTATTTATGTGGTCCAGTGCAGAGACAGACTCTGACCCCTCAGGAGAACATTCTGGAGAAGCTGCAGGAGATCAGAAAGGTACGAGGGTAGCAGAAAGATAACTGCTGCAACAACACATTTTATATCTATTTAAACTTCTACAAAGAAACTTATCAGAACAACTTCTTAAAATGTTTCTCTCATCTGCCCTTTCAAAGCCGGTTGACTGTTTGAATTTCAGATTTGAAAAGTAAATCTCATGTTGTGACACTGTGTGACAAACTGTCATTTCTGTTTCTTGTTGTGTTTTTTCACTGTAGCTGTTTTGATTACACTTTGTCTTCTTATTTTTGTACATTTTTTAAAACTAAATGTTATTTTATTTACTTCCAGTTTTGCTTCCATTTGATCACATTTTTCCGTCTTGTGTGTTATTGTGTATTTAGTTTTTGTCTAACTTTGATCAGACTTTTCCTGGTGAAATAAACCTGGTTTTGTTTCCTCAGATGTCTGTTCGTCAGATGAATCAGACTCGGTTTTACATTGTGGAGAACATCAACCGAGCGGTGCAGGTCAGCCTTCTGATCGGAGGACTGCCCTCCCTGTTGGCCAAAGAAGAGTACGTCCAGCTGATCGTGGAACACCTGACCATCAAGAGTGAGTCTGCAGCCTTTATATTTTCCAATGAAGCGCTTTTGACGATCCTCCAGACTTCTTATTGAGAACAGCCCTCAGCAGGACGGATCTTCTAACACCCCTCCTCCCTCTCTCTATTTCTCTCTCTCTCTGAAGGTCACCTGGTCACCATCAGCCACATCTATGACAGTCAAGGTGAGTAGGGTTCATATGGAGACAACCCCTAAAGTCCTAGGCACCCAGTATTGGGTCATTTATTGGTTAAATTGTCGAAAATGCAGACACACTCCTGCAACCTCTCGCACAAAAACATTTTTTTTTTTAGGCTAAGGTACTTATGATACTTATAAATCACATAGGGTGTATTGTTTGAAAACATCCATTATGGAAAAAGTATCTTAAAGAAGGGATCATTTAGACAACCTTGTTCTGACATCAACATTTGAATCAAACAGAAATAGTCATCTTCACCACGAAGGACACCAGGTATCTGAAAAGACGGACCCATAAACACACACAAGCTGTAATTATTTTGAATTGTATTGATCAATTGCATAGTTCTTGATTTAGATTGTGTAGAAAATACCTGCAAAAGAAATGACAACTTTACTGTCAGATCATGACACAATCACTGTCTGTTTTTATAATAAAACTATTTAATGCATTTTTAATTGAAGCTTCTCTGTAACCAGCTTCTTAAATGTGTTTTTTTTTTTCTTCTTTTAAGACTTTATTTCAGGTTGTGGACAAAAACAAAACATTAAGGACATCATCTTTGGTTTTTTCTGAAATTGAATTGACACACACAACAGACTGATAAGTCCATATTCAACAGTAAAAATGAAATGAGGATGGAGTTAAGATTTGAAATCTACAAATGGATCTAATCTGCATGAATAAGCAGATCTACTACCTGTTTATAGAGATAACAGTTGTGGCTGTGTGTGTGTGTGTGTGTGTGTAGGTGCGGTGGCGTTGCAGATCTCGTGTTTTTCTGAAGCAGAGAGGATCTACATGTTGGCTAAAGACACAACAGTCAACAACAAGACGCTAACGTCACTCGTCATCCCAGAGATCCTGGTAACAATCAATTCAAGACACAAAAAAACGATTAAGTGTGTTTTCATAATAACTTTGCTCTGAAACGTCTGTGACTTCATCTGATTCTGAATATTTTTTGGGGCACTGATTGGTGTAGATCAGCTTTAGAGTTCTCATCAGATTGAACTGTCAGGCAGATGGGTACAAGGCAACAACGGAAAGGAACCAAATACAGACAACCAAAGAGGACAACTGAAAATGCAGGGCTTAACAGGAAGGAGGGAGTGGAGCAATGTGGGGGAAAGGACCCCGATGCAGACGGACAGAAACAGCTCATTTTAATGTTTAAATAACTCAGGAAGAAGAAAGAATAAGATGGGAGGCCATGACTTGAGGGAAAGGGAACAGAACAGGATAAACATTCGGGCGGGTTAAGTTCTAGGGGTGAAGTACAAGGTCATGAGGGGCAAAGAACAATGACTGCAGATATTCCAGTGAAACACTTAAGTGAAAGAGGGGCGGGAAAAAATTCAAGGCAAAGTCAGCCGGTCCAAACAAGTAGCCTAAAATCCACAGGAAGGGTGAAGGAAAACGTGACAACAGGCAGAGATTAAGGCTCAGGTGCAGGGAAAGGACCCAAATGCAGATAACCGAGAAAGGAACAGTCAAATAATAACACAAAAGCCGACAGACAACGGCAGCAAGTGAAAACAGAAAAAGCTTCAAGAATTGAACAAGGAAATGTTCAAGAGGCTGAAAGGCAAAAACCAAAACATCTTATGTTTATATTTCAGCAGTAGCAATGGACTTGTTTGAGATGCAATCTATGTGGTATAATTCAGGAATGAGGAACAGGAAACAGGTGGAAGAGGGAATCCTGCAATGCCACAACAAACACCCTTAACCCTCACCACACAAGCTCTGATTCTGAAGTTGTGGTTTCTGTCGTCGTTTTTAGCACAAGAAGCTGGGAGACGGCATCTGTCCTCTGCTGGTGTTTGTTAATCCAAAGAGCGGCGGCATGAAGGGCAGAGAGCTTCTCTACGGCTTCCGGAAACTTCTCAACCCTCACCAGGTCTTTGACATCTCCAACGGAGGACCACTGGCCGGGTGAGGGACGCCAACACAGCGTGAATTTAAATCTGAGAGTTTGAGCTGCACTGGAGGGATAATGATTGTGTCCTGTTTTAGAACCTGGTTTATTTAAGGATAATATCTCAATCCTAAAATACTGTCTAGATTTTCTTTTATTTATTTCAGTTTTTAAAATATTTTTAAAATAAAAAATAAATCCTATATATATTTCTAATTTATAGTTATTTGATATACAGTATATATTCCGTAGTTACTTGTCAGGCTGTGAGACGATAGCTATATCATCAGAATGTTAAAATAAAATATTCCTTGTGTTGTTTCTTTGTCTTTTCCCCAGCCTGCATACGTTCCGAGAGGTTCCCAGGTTCCGGGTGCTGGTCTGTGGAGGTGATGGGACGGTGGGCTGGGTGCTTGGAGTACTTGAGGCAGTCCGTCACAAACTGGTGTGTCGAGAGCCGCCCATCGGCATCGTACCTCTGGGAACAGGTGAGACCAGCACTTCAGTTCAATTACAGCTAAAAACAGGTGAACAGGTGCTGATGTATGTCCCGTGTGTCTTCAGGTAACGACTTGGCTCGTGTCCTGCGTTGGGGAACGGGTTACAGCGGCGAGGACCCCCACCACATCCTGGTCTCTGTAGACGAGGCGGACGTGGTCCTGATGGACCGTTGGACCATCCTGCTGGACGCTCAGGACATCTCTGAGGACGGGAAGGACAACGGCTTCCTGGAGCCTCCAAAGGTCTGGTCCTCACTGACTATCTGAAACATTTTTATACCTGGTTAGACCACACTCTGAATATACTGAAGAAAAGAAGCTTCTTATATGTGAAAGATTTGATTTAACAACATAATTTACATAATATGAATTTAAAATGACAACTGTTTTATTTCACAGCATCGTACTTTAATATAAATTTTATATTTAAAATAACATTTCCAACAATGACCCCGGATTGTCTTGCTGGTTGGTCTATCTTGGGAGTGAAAAAATGAACGAGCAATATTTCTGGTGATCCAGATTTGACAGTTGAGTTACCGTGGTGATGCTAAAGTGAATTGTGTCTAGCCTTTATGTCAAATACATTGATTTAGCAGGAGATATATGAATGAATATGTTAACTGATATGTCGTTTTAACTTCTTCAAGCCGGTTTTATGTCACTGTGTATCTGTTTATCTGCAGTTTGGTGTAGGGTAATTCATTCTTAAACATATTGTTTGTGCCTTTATTTATAGATCTGTATCTTGTATTTTTTATATCAGATTCAGTAGTTTATTTGTACTTGAGTATATCCTGTCTTATACTGTACTTAAAATCAGTTTATGTTTCTATATTTACAGTATATGGTGTTAACCTGTATTTAGTACTTTTGTAAAATAAAAAATTACCATTCGTTTCCATTCTTAAATATTCTCTCTGGTTTAATGAAAAAAGTAGCTTATTTGATATTAAGTATATTGTCATTCTCTTTTTTCTTTCTCTCAGATTGTGCAGATGAACAACTACTTTGGTCTGGGCATTGACGCAGAACTCAGCCTGGACTTTCACCAGGCAGAGAGGACGAACCTGATAAATTCACCAGCAGGTAACCCTTCTGTTCTCTTCGATTTGTACACACACTTGAGATGTGTTTCCCTGAACGTATGACTCCTATCGCCACCAACTATGGCCCCTCCTCAACCACAACAGGTTCCATAACAAAGGTGTGTACGTGAAGGTGGGCCTGCAAAAGATCAGCTACACCAGGAGTCTCCACAAAGAGCTGCAGCTGCAGGTGGACGCTCAGAACGTCCAACTACCCAACATAGAGGGGCTGATCTTCTTAAATATACCCAGGTAAAGAAAAAAACACACACGCCCATGTTTCATTATAAACTACGCTTCATTATTAAAATGTTTAATGTGTTTGTAGTTGGGGTTCAGGTGCAGATCTCTGGGGGTCAGAGGCGGATGGTCGCCATGGGAAACCAAGGATAGATGATGGCCTACTGGAGGTGGTTGGTGTCACCGGGGTGGTCCACATGGTGAAAACAAAAGCATCCACAGTATCACATGACTCAAGGTTTACTTACCAGGTTGTCCAGAACTTTTAACAGTGTTTGTGTGTGTGTGCAGGGCCAGGTACAGAGCGGCATGCGTTCAGGGATTCGTATTGCTCAAGGGAACTACATCAGGTTGACTGTGAGCAAACCCATACCTGTGCAGGTGGACGGAGAACCGTGGATCCAACCGCCAGGACACATTATCATCTCTGCTGCTGGACCCAAGGTATAATACTTTTATTTTTAATTTTTAGGCGCCCTTCAAAGCACTCAAGGTCACCTAACAAAGCAGAGATAAAAACAGCAAAGTAACAATACATTGATAAAATTAACATTAAAACGACAAAATTTACAGGATATATGAAATCATTGTGGAGAGGATTCGTGGGACTGGATGGAGAATGAAGATGTGTTTTGAGATGAGATTTAAAAATGGAGAGAGTCAATATAACGGATGTGTGGTGGGAGGCAGGGGTTATGTGATTAACAGAGGGGGTTCTGGAGATGATGCGAGCAGCAGAGTTCTGGACCAGTTGATGTTTGTGGATGGACTTGAGAGGGAGACCAGAGAGGGAGTTGAAGTAGTCAATGCAGGATGTAACTAGGGTGTGAACGAGGATGGTGGTACTGTTGGGTGTAAGGGACGGGCGGACGCGATTAATGTTTTATAGATGGAAATAAGCAGACAGAGTTCTGTCACCGTTTAATTTGAGGAAGTTGCAGGAGAACAAGGATTTGACTTATTGTAGGCAATCAGACAGGGAAGTAGGCGGGAGGGAGGAGGTGGGTTTGGTGGACAGGTAGAGCTGGGTGTCATCCGCATAACAATGGAACTGGATGTTATATTTACAGAAGATATGGCCAAGTGGAAGGAGATAGATGATGAACAGAAGGGGGCCCAGCACAGAACCCTGAGGAACACCGGTAGTGACTGGAAATGGCTGGGGTTTTGAGTTGAATGAACTGAGTGAGTGCCACCAGAGAGATAGGATGTAAACCAGTGCAAGGGTCTGTCAGTGATTCCAATGGAGGCTAGTCTGTCAAGGAGTATGTGGATGGTTAAAAGTCCGGAGTCAGCTGCCATGAGTATTGAGTCATTAGTGATTTTTTTCGAGTGCTGTTTCTATGTGCTATGGAGGCGGCTGAAACAAGACTGGAATTGTTCATAACAGTTATTGCTCTGTTTGGCCCTTTAGAGCATCTGTAGTTGGTCTTTTGTCTTATCTTTTGTTTGGCATATTTTGTCTACATTATCTTAAGTTCACCTGTGATTTATCTTTTGTTTGGATATTTGGATATATTAATGTTGAAAAACAGTTAATCTACAGACGAAACATAAATACTTTGTGTGTATACCAACAGCTTCTTTGTACTTGTTAGTAGTATAATAACCAGTCATTTACCAGTCAGTAAATAGTGTGCATACACGTTCATCATTCATTAAGTACATAGTGTATATTAGTAGTGTACCTGCACTTGTGTTTATTGTATTTATAATGTAAATATCTATGCTTAAGTAAATAGTCTTCACACCAGAAGTTTATTTATACTTAAATAAATATAGTAGTTAAGTGAAAAGTTTGTATACCCATACTTACCTAACCCTAACCCCAGAAAATAGTGTGTACCTGTAGTGTACCTAAACTATTGTGTATCGTATGTATAGCATCAATGTAACTGTTTCACTGTACTTGGTGTGTATTGTTATATAACAGTAGTTTTATTTATTTATGTCTAGTTTATCTGTGCTGTAATAAGTTGTGTATACCCATAGTTAATCTGTTCCTCACTTAATTGTGTTGGCTTACCCGTAGTTTATCTGTTCTTCACTAAATAATGTGTATACCTCTGCTCTGTCTGTAGGTTCGGATGCTGAGAAAGTCCAAGCATAAGCAGAAGAAGTCCTCTGCCGGCGTGAAAGAAGGACATTCTGAGAGTCCTTCCTCCAGAGACGGGGGACACTGAAGGACTCTCCTGAAAACCCCGAGTCCTGCCTTTTACCTGCTTCCCGTTGAACCTGGGAGGCCATTTTGGTGCCATCAGCAAGCTGTGACTTCACTCATGTAGCTTTGTTGCGATGCTGACAGGATCCAGATCAACAATGAGAGACTGAAGGAGGTTTAATGTTTACTGCCTGAAAGAGGAAGTCCTGGATCAAACCAAGTTTGTCTCAGTGTGGATCAAGTCCACCTGCTGCTGGTAAAACACTTACAGAATCACAATACGCGCAGTAAATATTCAGCAGTCTAAAAATGTTAACCTTAAACACAATATAGCAATGAATGAATAGATCCATAAAAAGGATTTCTGCTTAAAAAAGAGTTTATATTGAATTTTGACAATTTCTCAGTATGGATAAGCTTTAGAGTTGAACAAACCAAGTATTAAACAGAAGTTTCAAAATGTCCTTCCTAAAGTGACTGTAAATGTGTAGCAGTAGACTCAGTGTCAGTTGATATATTAAAATAATTTATGTTAGTGCAGCTATAGAGGGAGTTTGACCTCCTTTATGGTCATGTTTAATAGGAGAAATTTCAAATCGAAGCACTGCTAAAGAGAAGTTTAAGAAGTTGTAACCTCATAATGTTTATTAATTGCTAAATCTCCTGGGAGGCTCAACTGGCTTTATTCTTCTTCTCTTGTAAAGTTGTTTGGTAATGTTGGTTTTGGAAGACATTTATGTTGTGGTGAAGCTTGCCAAAGCTAATGAGCGCACAAAATCCAACAAGAAATCCCTGATTATTTGAAACCACAGTGCCCACTGGAACTGAAAGTTTAAGAGCCAAGAAACCTATGAGAAAATTAAATTCAGATTATTGTGAGCTGCGGTAAAGAGCAGAGATAAACTGCCTGAAGCACAGCAGCTGTGAATAACAAGCCCGACTGACAAAGTTTGTTTTGCCACAAATTATCTTGTAAAATTATAACTTCTGGAAAGATTTGTTTGGGCAGATCCGAATAGCTTTTGTGCACAAGATTGAAGAGAAAACATCTTTAGTTTTAGTTTGTAGAAAACCTTTTAAAACCTTCTCATGATCCGTTCAGACTGACAAAAGAAAGAAGAGAAATCTGGCAGCTACTTTAACAGTGTCTGCTTTTAAATGAGATTAATTGCTTCAACTACTAGCATACAAAAAAAAACACATATTTGTAATTTCTACAGACTACATCTTGCTAAAAAAATGATTTAAAAAAATATAGAATGAAAAAGAAGTGAATATGTGGTTTTTAAAATAGTGCTAAAAGTTTACTTAAAATATGGTGAGCACAAGGCTTACTAAGCAAATTTTAAATGACTAAGTTGGGGTCCTTAACTTAAGAATGACTTAAAATAGCTTTAAAAATGCAGCAACACAATGTCCTCAAAGGAATGGAGACAATATGGTTAAAGTTTCTCATCTAACTTAAATTAATAAATTCAATTTTTGTGAGCCAGGCTTTTAAGTGATCTTAAAAAAAACTAGACAACATTAGTAAGGGAAAAATGCTTATGAAATGAATTAATTTATAAAAAATGTGGGACAAAATGTAGCAGTGTTGTTTAGCTACTATTACAGGTATACACTAGCTGGAAAACTAGCTGCATTTCTAGCAAAATTAAGTTAGTACTAAGCTCATACTAAGCTAGCTTTATCAAGCTAGTTTTCTAGTTTACCACTAAGCTAGTTCATTGGCTAGCCTGCCAAAGAAACTTACTTTGTTGATTTATTTTGTAGATGCAGTTGAAGATTAAAATTGCTAAAATGTGAGAAAACTGTTGAGTAACTAAAGTGAACAAGAAGCTTGAAAACTAGTGTGTTAGTTTGGCTCGCTGGCTGCCAAGCTAGTAAGCTCACCAAAATACAAATTAATAAGAGGCAAGAAATTAAGTACTTTTTGGATACTGATTACTTACATGAGGAAACAAAATACCATTGGTTATAGTATCAGTTGTTGTTGTTTGCAATTTGTGTTTTAAAAAAAGCTTAAAGTCCCAAGGAAATGAGAAGTACATTTTCCCGGTTTTAATCGTTCCTGTTTTAAATGTTCATTTATCTGCCAAATATATTTCAAGGAAACATTATCTGAGTATTTTTTTTTTTAGTTATCTTGAGATTACATGATAAATAATTTGAGCTCTTTATAAAACAAATGAAATGTACTCGTTATCACAGGGAAAACAGTCAAAAAATAAGTCTGGATGTTTGTCAACTTAGGGCTTCCGTATAATCGATACCCCCCTGACACTATAAAATAAGTGAGTGAAGAAAATTGTTTCCTGACATAAAATGACCTCCTAGTTTAAATTTTCAAGATGAATCCCCTTGTACAGAGGCCAATAACATTGTGTGATAATCCAACAATTTAATAGTAATTAGCTTACTTTACTGCCTCTTAATGTCCAATATTAATCCAAACTCATTTGAATCATTTCCCATTTTTTTGCTCTTGATGCATTAAGGAAAAGCTTCTCATTTAGCTTCAGCTGCCAGCCTTCTTTAAACAACCTCTGACAGAGATAAAGGAGGATTCAATGAGCTTCGACCACATTCCCAGAGATGCAGAATGCTAAATAACATGTACAGACAAACTGGAATAGGCAAGGGATTTAAATGCTGAAGCTCCCAGCTCTTAATGTAGCCACAGCAGTATTGGTTGACTATACTTTGGTTGTGATATATTCAGGTTTTTATTTTCTGCATAAACTGATTTATTTTAAAGTTTTTGGTGCTAGAAGTTAACAAAATGTTCTTTGTTTGGTGGAAGTTTCAACAATCTGTGTCATTTAAAGCCTGAAACCAGACTGTAGATCTTTTCTGGGAGAAGAAAATATATTTGAACGCAGGTTTTTTTTTACCCCAGGTAGCTGCACTTAATAATTCAACTGATTTCATGAACAGTTACGGGTTTCTGGCCTTGAATGAATAAAGATCTGAGACTGATGCTGATACATCAGTTGGCATTAACTGTTAATCTTTGTTCACTATGGAGTAAACTAAGTTTCTTCAGTACGTAGTCAGAGTTGCTGACTCTGTGTACTGTAAATGTAGCTGTGAGTAGTTGCAACACATATGAGATACTGTCACAGTGTTTTATTACATGCATGAAGTACTGTAGCTCTGAGGGTTGTGTATTTACAGCAGTGTTTTGTCGCCTTTTTGCTCTGTCAGACTGTCTGCCATCGCTGATACAGATCAATAACTGTAGTGTTTTTTATGTATCTCAAATGAGATTGTTCAAAGAAAAACACACTATCTTTGCATCAGACAGCTGTAAAATCAGCTTAAATGCACCAATAGTTTTCTTAAAAGTCTGTCCTCAACATAGCAAATGTGGTGTTTCCTAACACTGACAGAACAAATTGAAAGCATTAAGCTATAATTGATGATTTAATGCCATTTTAAACCAGAACATTTATGTAATGGCTGCATTTAGGGTTGTCATAATACCAGAATTCAAAACTTCTAGAAGAACTAGGCAACCAATATTGGGGTAAAATATTGGGTCATTTCTTGTTTGCAGTTTTAAAAGATTGCAGACAAACTCCTGCACACTGTCTATATTTCACAAATACATTGGTAACGTTCATTTATTTGTGCAATTTAGAGAGCGTGCAGATAATGGTTGTCGATACTATTGATCATAAAAAAAGAGAGATTGTATTGTATGTAAACATGAGGTATTGAAACACATCACACATTCTGACAACCTTACTGCATAGTTCCCACATGTAAAAATGTTCACTATGTCTGCTGAATCCATTTAGACAGATTTCAAATGATCTCACTCTTTTGAATCACCACTAGGACTTTTTCAACAATTTTGGACAAAACATCATTTGAAAAAAAAAAAAACAACTCAAAAAAATAGTTCCTTCTTTATCCCATAACTTTAAAATCCAAAAGACTTCATGTATTTTATTTCTTTGTTTGATGCCATAATCTTGTAGTATTGTCGCTGAATGTAAAAAAAAAAAAAAGTGCTTTAAAGTGTTTTTTCTGCTTCTCTGCATCCGTCGTGCCTCATAGCGTCTGACTCACATGTCGTTGTTAAGCCCCGCCTTCCTGACACCAGGGTGGTGTTTGGTCTGCAGGTGGAGGTCTGCGTAGTGCCTCGTAGAAACGCTTTGATACCCTCAGTGCTCTGATGTTTAACGTGTGTGCGTTCAGTGGTGTTCTGAGCTAACGTGCCTCCAGATGTCATCTAGAATTTCTCTTTTTCTTTTGCTGTACCTTTGTTTGGTTTTTACCTGAAGTTTTATTAAATAGATGATATGTATATTTTTGCAGAAAGAAGCTGTTTTTTTATTTTAACTGTAAAGTTTTAACTGTAAATTGCACTAATTGTTTTACAGATGCTCTTAGATGTGACGTTCAGGTTATAATGAATGTTGAAAAGTTAAATATATAAATCTTATATATGTTTAAATAACTGATTCTTATATGTGTTTGCTCACAATAAACTAAAGACCATCTAAGAACTAAACACATCCTGGTGTCAGTCATATTTCTCTTTGTGCAATAAAATCTTTGAGAGCTGAGACTTAGGGATCATTACACAAGTCCTCAGAGGACATCAAGGATATTGCAGTTGACCTTCAGGGCCACCATAATGTTCTCTAAGGGCTTCTAGAGACAAGCAAAGTCATTGAACATATCTGAAGTATGGTTTTATTTTGTATTTTCTACTAGCTAGCAACTAGCTGCATTGCTTGAGGCTTTCTAGTTTGGGGTGGTTTGGCAGTAGTAGTGTATTAGTTTGCAAGATAGCTAGCATGTTACATTGCAGAAAGAAATAGCTTTTATTCTTGTAGATTAAATTGAGGGTTTCTCATAGTAAGATTTGACAATTTATGGTGCTTTTGGATTTTATTCATTGAAGAGAAACAAGAAACTACAGAACTTGCTAATTGCTAGCTTGGGGAGCACAATTTTTTAGCCAAAATTACATCAATTTCAAGTGAACAAAGAAATGTATGGAGATTTCATTTGAATACGGGGAACAGGGATAATAAGCAATATGGCACAGAAATAGTACATTTAAGGCTCCATTAAATCTAATATTGTCCCATTGGGGAGAGCCGATAGCCTAGTGGTTATGTCCTATCCAATAAAGGCAAAAAAGGCCCAAAAATTAACTAAATGTTTTGTTGAATACATTTTCCCGTCCTCAGCTTGTCGAGAGAGTCAAAGTGAATCTCTCAAAATTGATACATAAAATGATTCAACTCTTTGTAGGATGTCCAATCTGTGAATATGGCAATTGGTGTTAAGATTAAGATTTACTTTTATTGATCCCCGCAAGGGGAAATTTCAGTTTTTACACTTTAAGTCACGCAACACATACATGCACAAACAGGACCCTATGGACATGCACTAATGGAGAGATGTCAGAGTGACGGAGCCGTCCACGGCGGGCGCTCCTGAGCTGATGGTGGGGGGGGGGTTTGATGCCTTGCTCAAGGGCACCTCAGCAGTGCTCAGGAAGTGATCTGGCACCTCTCCAGCTACCAGACCAACTTCCATATTTGGTCCGCACCGGGACTTGAACCCTCCAGTTCCCAACCCAAGTCCCTACAGACTGAGCTACTGCCGCCCCAAACTGCCCCAAACGGTATAGACCCAAACCAATCTTTTGCTACAAGCTAGTAGCCCATTGGTTGAGGCCTGTGTTGAGAAAATGAAAAGTAACCAAAAAGACTGCATTCATTTCAGCACGAAAAGTTATATTTCTAATAAAAAAAACTATATTTGGCATCAATTTAATTCTCACAAGATAGGCCTTTATAAACCCCCATAAAAAAAACATTATCTAAAATTAATTCATTTTCTTTGTCACTCATTCATACTGTACATATACAGTATAGTGAAATTTAGTGAGAACAGGTGAGCTGTGGACTGTAAATATTAAGGTTTGGGCCAGCAGAGGGCAGAGAGTCAATAATTTACACCACACCAAAGATTGTCTATGAGGAGGGTTCACTCTGCGATTGTATTATGATCTCCTCAAAACAGCGCTCTGGTGTTCCTCGTGGAGGTACGCATGGTGTATCACTCTTTTTCATGAAGTGAAATATAAATAAAAACATTAAATAAAAAATGCACAACAATACAACTTTTAGGTAAATAAACAAATAAAGTATTTGAGATTATGATATATTTATTGGCTACTCCTCAGAGGGAATCATTTCATCTTTTTATTAAATTATTCTGGTAGTTTTCAGGAAACAATTGAATTCATTTAAATTTGTAGCAGAGATGGTATACACTTTCGAGATGCTGTAACAAAAAATGTATTGTGATATGCTTTGTACGGTGCATAATGAATTGGTAAGGAGGACTTACAATGGGGCTGCCAGTGGCTGTGTTTGCCTGCAGCCAATTTAATTTAAATTAAATTGTTTTTGAATTAAGTGTTCTGTTTTGTTTTAATTAATGTTTTGTGAAAGACGGGCAGATATTATAAGATTAGTCTTCTTTCTGCTCCTTTTCATTCAAAATTTGAGATTTTATGTTTGTTTGTTTTTCTTAACTTTATTGTTTCTTTGAATGAAATAAAACTGACAAATAAAAATAAAACAAATAGAAAAATACACTGTATTGTTGCTTTTACTAAAACACGGTGACACAGTAGGCTTCCACCTCTGTTCTCACTGACAATCCAAAACCAACCAACAATTATATCCTCCATTCAGTCCTCGTTTGCTCTTCACTTAGTGTGTTTTAATTGAAAAGCTTACTTAATGTTCATGGAATTAATTGTTTTAGTTTCACAACATTGTTTTTTTTTTAATTGGAAAATGACATTAAGAACAAAACAAAAAAAAAGAATTCATGATGTAATTGTGGACCATTTTTTGTAGAAGGGTAAGACCTCTTCACATTTCACTCATCTCTTGATAACTATACGTCACAGGGAATTTCCAGAAGGGGAAGGAAATCAAACTTTATGAAGTGAGAGAAACTCGGGTTCACCTGCCAGACTTAAAACATCAGATTATTCTGTCGTTTAAAATAAGTTTACATTTTCTTAACTGTCATGACGCACTAAATAAGTGTGGTTGGTAAATGGATCCGCTGGTTCAGCATGGGAATGAAGAGGTAATGTGTAGAAGTGAACCGAAGTGAAGTGGACCGAGGACTCATAAGAGACTCTTGAACTGACCTCTATAACCAGGTAAGATCATCTTAACTACCTAGTTAATAGTTAACTGTGGAGTTTGTGTTCATTGCTATAACGTTATCGTGACCTGCTACAACAGTTGGCAGCTTGCTTTGTTGTGCTACTCACTTCCTTATTAGCCAGGTAACTTTGAGAACCACACACCAAACTCTATGCTTTAAATGAACGCTTAAAAGTATTCTTCATTTAAAAAAAACCCTGAATGTGTTACATTAGTACACAAGTTGTGGTATGTAGTCTGACATCCACTGGTAAATTCGGCTTACATATTAAACATTATCGCCTTTTTTACTGTACTTGTAGAACTGAATTTCCTCCCGCTGTCCATGCGTTCATATCGGCTGAAGGTTGCGTGTGGGAAGCATAGACTGTGGGAAGGGACAAGCCAGGGGGAAAAGCTTAAAATATTTAACTTTTGCGAACATGTATGTTGATTAAACATATGCCGAATTCATCATTTGATTAGTCTAACTCTCATAATAGTCAAACAATTCCCTGTTAATCACGTTTTTTGGGTGAACGGAGTCGAATCGTTGAATTGACTGATTTTTCAGCGGGGTTTCGTGTTGCGTTGTCCGCATACGGAACCAACCTACAGGGGCTAGCTCCGCGTTAGCAAGGACAGGTAGCGGTGGTCAGGTCATTCTAACATTAAGCTAACAGTCCTCCTCTAAATTACTACATGTGTTGTGGCAGTGTGAGCATTGGATACTGTTTATTTTTCACACGGTCGTTGAAACGGAACACAAGCTTAAACAAAGATTTGCTAGCTGTTAGCCAGAGCTTTAGCGCATGCGCGTTCATGTGCAAACGATGCGGGGACGCGCAACCAAGGCGCAACAAGTGCTTAAACAGATTCTTGTTATTGTTAATAATGGGTCATACACATACATTACAGGGGGCGTATTGCCTCAGTACTGTGTAGAATTAAATATTGAGGTGACACTTGAATGTCTAATGAGTAGTCTACTGTACTGATCATCATACACACTTTTAATACCTCATCAGACTTTGTAATTATAACATAATGTGGTTGTAAATGTTGTGTTTGACCTTTGCAGACATCATGGCTGGAGACGACCACTACCTTCATTCTTCAATGCCGGTAAACTCACCTGGCCTTTTTCTCTTTGTGCAGCAGAGGAGCAATAGAAATAGGATAGGATAGTATAGTAAAAAAAAAAAAAAAAGATTTATTTTACATATTTAAAATCCATTTAAAGTCATCGTTGTTAGACAAGCAGTTCAACGCAGCTCGCTGCCTTCAATGCGACATATTGCACAGCCTGCAATAAGTAAGGTCTTTTACCTGCTTTTTGTGACATAACAATAAGTAAGGTCTTTTTACCTGCTTTTGTAACATAACAATAAGTAAGGTCTTTTTACCTGCTTTTTGTAACATAACAATAAGTAAGGTCTTTTTACCTGCTTTTTGTAAAGTGTCTCGAGATAACACTTGTTATGACGCTATACAAATAAAAATTGATTGATTGATCGATATAGTACTTTATAGATAGATAGATAGATAGATACTTTATTGATCCTGAGGGAAATTCAAAGCATCCAGTAGCAGGTTACAAAGACGTACATGACATGAAACATTTGTTATAAATTAAACCACAAAACCGACGCCCCCCCCCCATACATATATATTAACCTGAAAAAAGATTTAAAGAATACCCCTAGATGAAACAAACTTAAACTGTGCCATTAAAAATAGACTACAAGAAATGTACATAACCCACGCAGGGATAAAAATATATGTGAAATTTAAATAAGAACCCAGATTTATTGATCCCCAGAGGGGATCAGTGCGTTGCAGCAGCACAGACAAGTAAGAAGGTCATACAAAATACAAATTAAACAGAATAGATTAGAGAAGATAAATAAAAATAGGGGGTATTTACAAGTACAAAATGAATGATGAAGTTAACTATGCGGCATTATTAGTATTATTACAATGTTGTCATATGTTATTATAATAAGTAAGAATGTATTTTTGATCCAGGATGTTTTAGTTCATCCTGAGCAGATGAAAAAATTGGTTTTGATCGTTGAAATTTAAAATCTCTGCGACAGAATCACTTCCTGTGCCGCTCAGAGGATCATTTCCTGCAGTTAGGATTTAAAAAGTCACCCTACCTCTGAATTGTTCCTTGTTTAACTTAGTTAAATATGAATATTGCAACACGTTGATAAACAAATCTCAACTCTTTAAGATTTGAGCAAAATCTCAGTCTTCAATTCATATTTCAAAACAGTAAAAGCAAAAGCACTTCTGTCACTGTGCTGTGTGTTTGAATATACTGGAACAGCTGCAGTGAAATATGATAAGAAATCCTTATTTACAGATGTTTTAAATATGTTATGTTTGTCTTGATTAAATGTTTTATCCCCCCCCCCCCCAGATTTTCGAAAATATGATGGATCCAACTTGGGAGTTTCCACAATATCCTGTGATGTCTCCGAACACGTCACTGCGCACAGGTGAGTCTCACACCTTCAAACCATCATTAAAGGTAGAATCAGTAGCATTGTTTGTTGTAGCTTGTAAATGCAACATTTAAATTGGGCCACTCCGCCTGGGCTTATTGCCACTAGAAGTGCACACTCACTGCAGGACGTAATATGTGTGTTTACTGCTTGTAACTAAACTGCAAGCTACCACATCCTAGCACAAGCTAACCACCAGTGTTTGGTACCTGCCTGTCCAATAGAAAGAAAGCCAACTCTGCATCCGCGGGTCAAAGCCAGTCTAAGGGTAACCCTTGTTTTGGCATTTGCTTCACTAGGATTATATTTTCTCTTCTTTGCTGGTTTGTCCATGTCTGTCTTTTGTCCATACAAAGGTTCTGCTTTTCTGATGATTTATTTATTACTGTTTGACAAAACTCAGAAACCTTACCATTCATTGTCAACATTGGATGTCTTATGGTATTTACATTATTTATAAAATAATTATTACAATAATTAGCGATATCTTTTGGTTTGGTAATAAATCCATTATCAGATCCAATGAATGATGGAATGGTCCTTTTTTACTGGAGGTAGGGGAAAACTCGATATTTTCTTGTGATATTTTACGTTGCAAATTGCGATATTATATCGATTCATGGCCGCCAAGTATGGTTATTTTTTATTATATTAACAGCAAATATGCTGGTGGTAGCACAATTCAATTTGAACAAGTTGCATTGTTAAAAATGACTGCAATTGTTCAGTCGTTCGTACATGTTTGTGTTCAGTTAAGTTGGACTGGACTGAAATACCAACAGTTCAGATTTGTGAGGTGCATGCACAGGGTTTTACTTTCATCACGGTGTTGGTCAGTCTGTGGGCTTGACTCCCATTGCGTAGAATGATTTCTTATTTGACAAAACCGTTCTTGATTTTAGTTTAATTTTGTGGACATAATATGCAGTTAAAATCCTAATATATTGTATAACCAAAATGTTTAAAATCGCAACAATAGCATATTGTAACTCAAGTATGGTGATTATATATGATATTTTTTTACCCATTACTTCATTGAGGTTTCTCTATAACTTTTTGCTCTTGCTCTTTATTTCCCCAATCTTGTCAGTTTCCTGACAGGAGCATGTTTGTCATATGTAGATAAAAACTATTTTTTTAATGACTTTTATATATCACCTTCGCCAGTGCAATAAAAGTGTAATATACAGATACTCCCTTTGAACATGTGCCCACAGAGTTTGTGAAAAAAAGATCGATGCAAATTGACGAGGACATGCTTGAGTTCCTGATGTTAACTCTTTGCCGGTTTATTGACGATCTGAGCTATATTCCATACATTAGCCACATCACTAGATTTTGTTTTCAGTGTGCTTGTTTTGGAAAACCAAAAGTCAATATTCAGATTTCCCTACAAAATATATTTCTCCATCAGTCTGTGACTTGTTGTAGCATTGTACTGTATATATGGGCTCTATATGAGTATACTGTATGTATGAGCTGTAACAACAGCCTACTACTAGTATAGGTTTAAGATGAGGTAGATGCACGTCTTAACCACAGTACTTTCACACCAGCTGCAGCTTGATCTATTCTCCTTTGTGCAGGTACAGTATATGTTTCTGAATGTAAAAGGTTATACCACATTCATGTTTGCTTCTGTCATTTCTGAGTACGTTATACCCCCGTATAGCCACCTCTGAGTCATCTATAGATGCATAGAGTATGTCTCTGTTATAGCATGATATACACATTAGTCTCCTGCATCACACAGCCATGGCTTATTTTTTTGGCTTTTCAATGACCGTCTTGTGATTACCAGTCTTTCAATGTCCTTTAAACGACCCATCAGTGTTTCTCTTTAGTCTCACGATGAGCCTGTCACAGCTGATTATGGCATAGTAAGTTCGTTAGCCTTTGCTCTGGCTTCTCTCATGGCAGATAGCAGTGTAGCCCTCTTCTTCAGGACAGTCGGCATTATCCTCATCGATGATAATGTTGTTCCTTCCGCTTTGATTTTCCAGATAGTCCAGATGCTCCTGGAGGTGGTCAGACTGATTTGGAGTTGAATTAAGTTGTTTTTTCTGGTTTTTCTAAGTCATTGAAAGTGTTTTTATCTACATCAATTGTTACTTTAATTTCATAAATGTCCTTCTGAGAGTATTTTAGAGTGTTACTCAGGTCTTGAATCTCTCTCATCCATCGATTTGTTTTTCAGTTGAATCCAAAATCATTTGTGTGAAGCACCAAAATGACACCTTTTGTCTTTTTAATATCTCCTCATGAAAAGTATTTTTGGCCGATCCAGCTTCTCTTTGGAGCTCAGTTCAACTCTGGTTCAGCTTCAGTGGCGTCCTTTGTTTAGTTTTTTTTTTTTACGAGTGGTCATCCTTTACTTTGGTGTGTGGGTGACTCCTTTAACACAAGTCACAGTTGCTTACCTTTTAGGGGGTGGGAATCTCCAGAGTCCCCACGATACGATATTATCGCGATACTCGAGACACGATACGATTCTGTTTAACATTTTGTGATATGCTGCGAATTGCGATACAATATATTGCGATTAAGCAATATTGTGTCCACTACACTAAACTAAATCAAGAACTGTTTTGTCAAATAAGAAATCATTCTCAGTCTGTTCATCTCACTTCAGTCTGTTCATCTCACTTCAGTCTGTTCATCTGTATTTCAGTCTAATTGAACTTCAACATGAATTCTTAACGATGCAACGTGTTCAAAATGAATTGTGCACCCCCTTAAGCAGTTAAAAATGTAACAAGCACATCTAAAATATGGATACTTAGACGATATAATATTGGCACACAAAATATCGCAATACTATACTGTATCAGTTTTTTACCCCACCTTTATTACCTTCAGTTGGAGGCCTCAGGCTGGGCCAAACAGCAGATTGAGTTGGCCGAGGATTCAGGAATCCCTCAGATATCACCAAAGCAAGAAAAAAAAAAAACATCCAGCACTTCTTCTTATTGAAATGGAATTTCACAAGATGTAAGATTGTCCAAAATACTATTTAAAAAAAAAAAAGGGTTGAAAAAAATGAAACTAAAATCAGTGAAGTTTCAAGATTCAAACACACTCAGCTGCCAAACAGGAAACTAACAACAGACAGATAGCTCCTACAATGTATGCTGTCCAAAAAGGAGCTGGTGGTTATTGTTGTCATCCAATGAATTTTTATTTTAGAGATAATTTTGTGTCACTTAGTTGTCATGTTCATTTGTTTACTTTGGCCCCTCCCTCCTCAGGTTTTACAGTTTAGTGTTAATATCCTTTACAAAAAATATGATGAAGAATGTTTTTCTTCCCTGACGAAACGTATGTTTAGTTTATGATAACAAAACAAGACTCAGATGTTAGGGTGGGCTGTCGGACATTTAAAATCCATGTTATTTCACTTTGTCACACCCCAACCTTTATCACTTCGTCCCCCGATTACGCTTCCCCAACATTCATACTGAAGGCGAAACGTCACAGGGATGTAAAGGTCACGACTTGAAACGGCACTCTGAATAGAGAGACGGTTCGTATTGAGACATTTCTGCAAATATAGAAAAAGGTAGTTTATTTCAGTCTGCATAAATAATTACCCCCCCCACCAAAGAACACATAAAAGTCACACATAAATTACAAATAAGAATATTACTGGACAAAAAAAGGAAAAAATAAATAGCTTGGCAGAGTTTCTGTTGAATCTGTTTAATTCATCGTTTTCTTTGTTTGTTTTTGTCTTTGTTGGTGTCACCACTTGTTTCATTCCTGAAAATAACCCAACCACGTTTTAGGTGTGATCACATGTTGAACACTGTTCTTGCACAATCAAGAAGAAATTTTGTCCGTCCCATCGAAGCCATCACTCTGCAAACCTCTTCTTTTTTTTATAAAAATGTAAAAACAGGAACAAATTCCAAACAATGTGGACGTGTTTTATGAACACAGTGCGGTATACAACAGCTGCTGTGGGCTGAATGCTGGATGTTTTTCTTCTCGGCCTCGCAACAACTGAAACTGAACTTTCTCTTTAGAAATTGAATGTGTATGAAATTAAACCCCAACTGATGTAGAGTGAAAGCTGAGTTTCATGACGTTCTGGTTTCTGAGCTCTGTGGTGAATTTGGGCGGAGTCTCTATGCCTCACTCACTTCCCTGTTTGCGTCCACAAAATGACCCTCTGAATAAAGACAGAACAGGAGGACGGATGTGTTGGATGAGGGGAAAGTGTCTCCTGTGGACATTTGCACATGTGATTGAGTTCTCCATCAACAGCAGACTAACGTCTCACATCAGCAGCACAGATGTTCTCATACAGACTGATGCTGGTTTTATTTGTTTTTTTATTTATGGGTTTTAACTGGCAGCAAAGTCAGTTTGGTGTTAGTATTGTCACTCTCACCTCAGTACTTCTTCCAGCACTGACTGGAGCTGTGGGTTCACTGTAGCGCTGTAGCTGGTGTGTCAGTGGTGTGTCAAACTCAGGACCTTCACCCTGAACACTGGAGTTAGAGTTTAGTGTTAGAGTTTAGTGTTAGAGTTTCGAAATACGGAAAGGTGGGATTGGGCCATGGCTTTGTGGTACAAGGGATGGAGGGAGAGCTCAAAAAAAAGTGAATGAAGTCCACACAAAATGAAAATACCCTTGTGCTGTTGGGAGCTGATATGCTGGATCACATAATATTTGCCACTGTGCCGTTTATTAAAATCTACCCTGCACACCTTGCAGAAAGTGTGGCGACAATCCAGGCGACCTGTGGTTGAAAACTAAAATTGTTTAATTCAATTTGGGGGCGTATTTGGGTTGTTTTGTGGAACGCTTTCCTGTCCTGACATTTTCGGCTAGCTTGCTCCCTCATCCTGCTGTCTTCATTTTACACTCTTTTGCTGAAACATCCTACACACACAGATTGAAATACACACAAATGCACACACAGGATCCTGTGGACATGCACTAATGCACTAACGGAGAGATGTCAGAGCGAAGGGGCTGTCCACAGTGAGCACTCTGAGGTGGTGGGTGTTCGGTTCCTTTCTCAAGTGCAACTCTGCAGTGTTCAGGAAGTAAAACTGGTTCCCAACTCAAGTCCCTACAGACTGAGCTGCTAACCCTTAAATCATGTTGTGGGGTCGGAGAGATTGAAATTTGATGTAGTCGTGTAATTTTTGAGTGTGATGTGATTTATAGAAGATCTGGAAACATTAGTATCTTAAGAAAACAAACAAAACATCGGGATTATTTTTTTTTAAAGTTTTTAAAAAATCACAGGAGTGTCCTGTAAGAAATAACAAAACCGAAAAACGGTAGAAAACAGGAGTGTTGGCAGACATGGGTTAGAGTCCCCAAATCTATGACAGAAGCCTCTGACAAAATGGTTTCCCCTAACCTGTGTTCGTTTTATGCAGATTGTTTGATGCTAACCACATGTATGACATTTAGAAAACAGACACCACCCACTGCTGCTGTATGACACCCACAGGGTGCCTGTAATGGTTGCAAAGACGTGTGATAAAATGTTTGTGTTTTACAAACAGTTCTTTCTTTTGATAAAAATGTCACTTTTGCATACAAATCGGTACAAAAAGATATTTAGATAATGATCAGTTTGAATAACAAAGTATGCATGTCAAAATTGGAGCCTTAAGATAACATATAGGAAGATATAAAAAAGTCAAAAGGGAAATAATACATTTAATTCATTATTTACTAATTAATACTAATTTACTAACTTCCTGCGCCCTGAGGAAAAAACTGTGAAGATTCTAATGATCCTTTCATTGGCTACTTCCTTGTTCAGATTTTTTTATTTTAGCTTAATGACACATTTTTTTATTTCCATACTATTTGCAGATTAAACTCTGAAAATGTAAAATCTGAATCTGTTTCTCTAGTTTCAATGGATGGACCGTCCCTGCAGATCGTGGAGCAGCCAAAACAGGTAAAACCAAATCAGAAATAAATACACAGTTAAGACAGATAGTTAAGCACAATGTAAAATACTTAAACATACAGTACATACAAACACACAAGAGCTCGTACAACACATCAGAATACAGTTATTAAGACAGACGACAGAGGCCGCGCACCTGATGTGTTGAAAAGTTCAAATGTGCTAAAATGTCTTTGTAAAAGATTTGAAGTCTTTTTTTATGAAGACATGTCTACGCTGGACTGAAAGCTAAAACACACGTTAATATTAGTTGTGGCACTCACAGTTTGCAGGACTGTTTGAAGTACTTTAAAAGCTCTCAGATAATCCTCAATCTATGACTGTATGAAATGTTTGGGACATTTACAGAGCAACATAACCCAACATGTTCTGGATTCAGTATTGATAGCTGATGTTTGAGCCCCTTTTGATGACACACCTGCTTATTAATGTGCTTTTATTTGACCGAGTTGTTGTTGTTGTGTTTTTGTGTTCCAGCGTGGCTTCAGGTTCAGGTACGGCTGTGAGGGTCCATCTCACGGCGGTCTGCCCGGAGCCTCCAGTGAGAAGAACAGGAAGACCTACCCCACTGTCAAGGTAACACTTTCTGTTTTTTTTTTTTGTAAGCTCACACTTCCTGTCTACACAGTTAAGCCAAGCTGCAGAGATAGCTCGATCAGGCATTTAAATGGCACTACTGTCCCATTAGGTTATGGTGATATCCAAAGGTCTGATTGAAGTGTATACAGTACATGCAAGAGTAAATCGACCCCAAAAACATTGTCTGGGTGTGTTAGACTGACTTTGAATATTGTCAAAGTCCAGATTAAATCTGATTAACACAATAAATCCACTTTTTTTTTTTAACTGTACATAAACGTGCTGAGTGTCTGCACGCTGTGTGTGTGTCTGCAGCTCTCAGATCATACACCCGTCAGCTTCTGTAGAGGTGTGATGAGTTGCAGATAACCTCGTCGTCTCTGCAGAGTTTAGGTGATTTGAGGTTTTAAACAAACGCATTCAATTCTCCAGTTGCAGACCTGCGAGGCGATTTACCTGTTTGATGTTGAAAAGCAGGACTTGTCGTAGCTGAGATGTAAACTTCATGCCAGCATAAAAAGATGAGGCTAAAAATGATATCCAGGAAGCGATGAATATATGTGATGAGAGAGAGAGAGAGAGAGAGAGAGAACTGTGAACACAGTGTGGTCGACTTGTCTCTGCAGAAACACTCACTGTTTCCTGCAGAGTGAGAGTACTGAGAGGACTTGTGTTGTATTTATCAACATCATCAATAATCAATATTAAAAGTTACCCATGTAGGGGGTAAGACATCCTTATTACTCAAGTTTATGTCATTTTTGTGGTTTGTCAATATGCCTGGAATTGACGCAAAGCTCAAGTTGACCTGGTGACGTTTAGAATTGCTGTTCAAACAAACCTCAATCCAATCTGGGTTAGCGACTTCTCATTCTGCCCCGAGGCCCAACGTGCAGGGGAACTGCTGACTTGACTGTGATAATAATTGTTCAATTTGCACATTTAGAAAGAAGAATGCATTAGGAAATGTTTTGTTGCTTTGCTTCCCCTGAGTTAAAGTTCATTGTCATTTGAAGCTGATGCCCTTAGTTTACAGCAGTAGAGGAGGATGATTCTGCTGAACTTCACATGACTTCTGCTCTGGAAGTTTCTGCAGCATATACAAATACAGTTAGCTCTGATGGCCCTCTATTATCCCTACAGCTGAACTACTTGTTTTATTGACCCATACAATCACTCTAAGTAGGTAACTTCGGAGAACCATTTTGAGAGTTTTTAACGAAAAACGTCTGAGCCTCTCACCCCGATACATACAGCCATGTTCAGCCTCCTCACTGCTGTAGGACGAGTCTAAGAAAGAGCGTTAGGGAAGCATCTTTGGGGGCAGAATGAGCAGCGGAAGGTCAGTGAAATTATGGGACAAACTTTTGCTTTTCTTACAATTACTTCATTAGCTTAAAAACAAATCTTTTTGAGTCTTCACATTAAAGGCAGGGTTGGTCATTTTCTCCAGATACACTTTTTAAGATTTTGGTTGAAATTGTCTTTAGGTCCTGATATAAATGAATAATTAATGTGCTCTATAAAAGGAATGAAATAAATCCATCATCTGTAGGTAGTTGTAAGCCTGTAAAAACTTCTCCCAATGTCTGGCCACGAGGTACCAATCTGATGAGCCAGTAACGCCTCCCTGTCTTCCTGCTCGCTCTCTACACCTTGCATGCACAAGCCCACACTCAAAGCACGAGCTGAGTTCCGCTTTTGGACCAATGGCAGAGGGTGGGGGTGGGTGGCTTTTGAGGGAGCACGATGGGGGTGGGTGCAGACGGAGCACTCTTTCAAAACCATGCTAGTTTTTGAAATGACCAACCCTCCCTTTAACTGAATATCTTTGGATGCTGCTGTGGCTCAGG